GGTCTGGTGGGGGGAGTTGAGGGGAGGGAGGTGGATTACTGGTGAGGGATGGGTAGTTACCTGGTGGAAGGGAGGGAGGGAGTGGATTACTGGTTCTGGGGAGGGTGGTTGGTGGTGAGGGGAGGGAGTGGTTACTGGTGAGGTGGAAGGGTGTGGTCCACTGTGGTGAGAGGGGGAGTGGTTCTGGAGTGGAGGGGGTGGATGGGTGTGAGGGGAGGGTGGTGGAAGGGGGGGAGGGTGGTTCTGAGTGAGGGAGGTGAGTGCTGGTGAAGGAGGGAGTGGATTACTGGTGAAGGGAGGAGGGTGGATGTGTGGAGTGAAGGGAGGATTACTGGTGAGAGGTGAGATTCTGGAGTGGAGGGGGTGGTGAGTGAGGGGGTGGTTCTGGTGGAGGGGGTGGTTTGAGTGAAGGGAGGAGTGGTGCTGGTGAGGGAGTCAGATTCTGGTGAGAAGGGGAGATGGTTCGGTGAAGGGAGGATTCTGGTGAAGGGAGGGAGTGGTTACTGGTGTTAGAAAGGGAGAACAGTGGTGGGAGGGAGTGGATTGGTGAGGGGTGGATGAGTGGTGGGGGAGGGTGGTTCTGTGGGGTGGAGGGTGGATGGGTGGAAGAGGGGGGTGGTAGGGGTAGTTGGTGAAGGAAAAGGTGTGAGTTACTGGTGAGGGGGGAGGTGGTGCACTGAGGTGGAAAGGGTGGGGAGTGGTTGGGTGTGGGGTGGAGGGGGTGGTGGAGGGAGGTGGTGGGAAGGGGGGTGTGGTGGGGAAGGAAGGGTGTGGGGTGGGGAGTGGTGGGGGTGGTGGGGGAGGGGAGGTTCTGAGTGAGGGTGGATTAGTGGTGTGTGAGTGGAGGGAGAGTGGTGGAAGGGGAGGGGGGGGACAGGTGGTGGAAGGGAGTGGAAGGACAGAGTGGAAGGGGGAGGGGGGTTCTAGTGAGGGAAGGGAGGGAGTGGACCTGGTGAGGGAGGGAGGTGTGGATTACTGTGAGGTGAGGGGGGGAGGGGGTGCCTGGGGGGGGAGGGGTGCAGAGGGTGGATGTGGGTGAGGTGGAAGGAGTGGTGTGGGGGAGGGTGGTTCTGGGTGAGGGGTGGATTACTGGGTGGGGGTGGAAGGTGGTTGGTGGGGGAGGGGGTGGTTGTGTGTGGTGGGGTGGGAAGGGTGGTGCTGGTGAGGGGGAGGGAGTGGATTACTGTGAGTGAAGGGAGGGTAGATACTGGTGAAGGGAGGGTGAGTACTGGTGAAGGGAGGTGAACGGTGAATGGGAGGGTGATTACCTAGTGAAAAAGGCAGGGAGTGGTACTGGTGAAAGGGGAGGTAGTTACTGGTGAAGGCAGGGAGGGGTGAGTTACTGCCTGGTGAAGGGGAGGGAGTTGCGGAGGTGAGGTGAATTACCAGAAGAAGTTACTTACTGGTAGAGAGGAGAGGTACTGGTGAAGGGGAGGGCAGTTACTGTGAAGGAGGAGTGGATTACTGGTAGGGGAGGGTGGACTGGTGAGGGGAGGGGTAGTTACTGGTGAGGAGAGTGTAATTATGGTGAAAGGAGGAAACTGTGAAGGGAGATTACTGGTGAGAAGGGAGGAATTACTGGTGAAGGGAGGGGCAGTTACTGGTGAGGTGAGAGGTGATTACTGGTGAAGGGGAGGTGGTCACTGGTGAAAAAGAGGGAGTTACTGGTGAAGGAGGGAGTTACTGGGAAGCTGATGGGTAGTTACTGTTGAAGGGGAAGGGTAGTTACTGGTGAGGGAGGGTAAGTTACTGGTGAAGGGAGGGGTAGTTACTGGTGAGGGGAGGGAGTAGTTACTGGTGAGGGGAGGGGTAGTTACTGGTGAAGGAGGTGGCAGTTACGGTGAAGGGAAGTTACTGGTGAAGGGGAGGGGTAGTTACGTGAAGGGAGGGGTAGTGCTGGTGAAGGGAGGGGTAGTTACTGGTGAGGGTAGTTAATGGTGAAGGGAGGTAGTTACTGGTGAAGGGGAGGGTAGTTACTGGTGAGGGAGAAAGTACTGGTGAGGGAGGGTAGTTACTGGTGAAGGAAGGGTAGTTACTGGTGAGGGGAGGTAGTTACTGGTGGAAGGGAGGGAGTAGTTACTGGTGAGGGGGAGGGGTAGTTACTGGTGAAGGGAGGGGTAGATTACTGGTGAAGGGAGGGTAGTTACTGGTAAGGAAGGGTGGTAATGGTGAGGGGTAGTTACTGGTGAAGGGGAGGGTAGTTACTGGTGGGGGAGGAGTTACTGGTGAAGGGGAGGGGTAGTTACTGGTGAGGGAGTTCTAAAAGGGTAGGGGTAGTTACTGGTGAGGGGGAGGGTAGTTACTGGTGAAGGGGAGGGTAGTTACTGGTGAAGGGAGGTAGTTACTGGTGAAGGAGGGGGTAGTTACTGGTGAGGGAGGGGTAGTTACTGGTGAAGGGAGGGTAGTTACTGGTGAGAGAGGGGAGGGTAGTTACTGGTGAAGGGAGGGGTAGTTACTGGTGAGGAGAGGTAGTACTGGTGAAGGGGAGGTAGTTACTGGTAAGAGGGAGGGGTAGTTACTGGTGAGGGGGAGGGTAGTTACTGGTGAGGGAGAAGAACTACTGGTGAGGGGAGGGTAGTTACTGGTGAAGGGAGGGCAGTTAATGTGGTGAAGTTGAAGGGAGGGTAGCACTGGTGAGGCAGTTACTGGTGAGGGGAAGGGTAGTCATGAAGAAGGAGGGGTAGTTACTGGTGAAGGGAAGGGTAGTTACTGGTGAGGGAGGGGTAGTTACTGAGGGAGGGGTAGTTACTGTGAAGGAGGTATACTGTAGAGGGGAGGGGTAGTTACTGGTGAGGGGAAGGTAGCGGTGGTGGAAGGGGAGGGGTAGTTACTGTGAAGGAAGGTAGTTACTGGGAGGGACAAAAACACAAAAACGGGGAGGAGTTACTGGTGAAGGAACAAGGGAGGGGTAGTTACTGGTGAAGGGGAGGGTAGTTACTGGTGAGGGGAGGTGTAGTTACTGGTGAGGGGGAGGGGAAGTACTGGTGAAGGAGGTAGTTACTGGTGAGGGGAGGGGTAGTTACGGTGAGGGAGCAAGGTAGTTACTGGTGAAGGGGGGGTAGTTACTGGTGAAGGGAGGGTAGTTACTGGTAAGGAGGTAGTTACTGGTGAAGGAGAAGTTAACTGAAGGAAGTTACTGTGAAGGGAGGGTATACTGTGAAGGAGGAAGAAGTTACTGGTGAAGGAGGAAGTTACCTGGTGATGCAACAGTTATGAAGGGGAGGGGTAGTTACTGGTGAGGAGGGAAGTTACAAACAAAAACCAACAAACAAAAAAACCAAAAACTGGTGAAGGAGAGGTAGTTACTGGTGAGGTGGAGGGTAGTTACTGAAGGAGGGTATTTACTGGTGAAGGAGGGGTAGCATTAAGGGGAGGGTAGTTACTGGTGAGGGGGAGGGGTAGTTACTGGTGAGGGGAGGGTAGTTACTGGTGAAAAAAAGGGTAGTTACTAGGGGAGGTGAAGTTACTGGTGAAGGACGGTAGTTACTGGTGAGGGTGAAGGCAGTTACTGGTGAAGGAAGGTAGATACTGGTGAAGGGGAGGTAGTTACTGTGAAGGAGGTAGTTACTGGTGAAGGGGGTAGTAGACTGGTGAAGGAGGGGAAGTACTGGTGAAGGGAGGAACGGATAAGTTACTGGTGAAGGGAGAAATGGTGAGGGTGAAGAGGGAAGGGAGGTAAGTTACTGTGAGGGTAAGTGTAATTACTGGTGAGGGAAGGGAAGCTATTGGTGAAGGGAGGTATACGGAGGGTGAAGGCAGTTACTGGTGAGGGGAAGGATAGTTACTGGTGAAGGGAGGGTATACTGGAGGTGAAGTGTAGTTACTGGTGAAGGGGAGGGAAGTTACTGGTGAGGGGAGGGGTGTTACTGGTGAGGGGAGGGGAACTGGTGAAGGGAGTGAAACAGTGAAGGAGGGGTAGTTACTGGTGAAGGGAGGTAGTTACTGGCGAGGGAGGGGTACACTGGTGAGGGGAGGGGTATACTGGTGAAGGGTAGGGTTAGTTACTGGTGAGGGTAAAGGTAGTTACTGGTGAAGGGCAGGGTAGTTACTGGTGAAGGAGGGGTAGTTACTGGTGAAGGAGGGGTAGTTACTGGTGAAGGGAGGGGTAGTTACTGGTGAAGGGGGGGTAGTTACTGGTGGGGATAGACTGGTGAAGGGCAGGGGTAGTTACTGGTGAAGGAGGGGTAGTTACTGGTGCGGGGTATTAGTTGAAGGGGAGGGGTAGTTACTGGTGAAGGGGAGGGGTAGTTACTGGTGAGGGGGAAGTGTTCAGTGGAGATAGAGAGAATAAGCACATGAACTATTAGGAAGCGGTGTACGGAGGAAGGCTATTCTCACTCAACAACATTGTATGAAGACCAAAGGATTACGGAATGCATACAAGCTCGGCCAACACCCAGTGGACCTAACATCCAACGAAGAATTGTAACTGCAGTGCACATCACGAACAGTAACGCAGAGATGAAATTCAGCAGGTGTTCACTCAGACATTCCAGCTGATACAACTTCACTAACACAAAACCGCATGGAGCAGCGTGTGAAATTTGTGAGACGGCATGTAGATGTGGTTGACAACCTGTGGCAACTGGCTATATTTTGTGATGAGAAGATGATTTTTACAGAGAGTGTGGCTACCTTTTCCAAGGTCCCTCAGACCTGCCAAGTGTTCAGTAGTTTCAAGTATGTGTATTACTACAACAGATGACTCGACTTCCCCGCGAGGTATTCACCAAAGCTTGGGAAGACAGTTGTGTATTTGACTGTACAGGGTGTAGTCAAGGTGTGGGGAGTCACCAATGGGGGTGCAGGTTTGGGGACTCACCAGGTATGAAAAAGGATTAAGATCAGACGTGGTGACTCACCTGGGAGTGTGCTGCAGGTGTTTGAAAGGTAGCAACAGGTGTGCTTATTTACCATGGTGTACTGCAGGTGTGAGAAAGAGGCAGTAACAGGCTACAATGTGAGAGGGAGAAATGCAAGAAATTAGCAAGGCGACTCACCAGGGAGTACTGCAGGTGTGGGTGAGAGTGAGGTAGCGTACGCCCAGGTCCTTCAGAGCTCGTAGGACGCCCAGGGAGTTCTGGATGGCGTGGCCGCCCTCCACGCCGATGAGGCTGGCGATACGACCCTCCTTGAACGACTCCTCCACCTCTGTCGCATACGAACGACCCTCAGTACTCTTGGTACATTATAATTATGTTAACATGAAATTATGATGCGTGTGTGTGGGTGGGGGGGGGCCTTGCTCCCACACACCACACCTGGCTCTGAAGGAGGGTACGTGTGATGTGGGGTGGCCACACACCTCACCTGACTGAAGGAGGGTACGTGTGATGTGTGGGGGGCTGCCACACACCCACCTGACTGGGAGGGATGTGTGATGTGGGGCAGCCACACACCTCACCTGACTGAAGGAGTGATGTGTGGGGGCTGCACACACCACACCTGACTGAAGGAATGTGTGTGGGGTGCACACACACACACCTGACTGAAGGAGGGTATGTGATGTGTGTGGGGGGGCTGCCACACACCACACCTGACTGAAGGAGGGCATGTGATGTGGGGATAGCTGCCACACACCACACCTGACTGAAGGAGGGTGTGTGATGTGTGGGGGGGCTGCCACACACCACACCTGACTGAAGGAGGGCATGTGATGTGTGGGATGCCACACACCACACCTGACTGAAGGAGGTGTGTGTGTGCCACACACCACACCTGACTGGAAGGAGGGTACGTGTGATGTGTGGGGGGGGGCTGCCACCACACCACCTGACTGAAGGAGGGCATGTGATGTGTGTGGGGGGGCTACACCCCATACCTGGCTCTGAGGGAGGGCATGTGATGTGTGGGGGCTCCACACACCACACCTGACTGAAGGAGGCATGTGATGTGTGTGACTGAAGGAGGGCGTGTGATGTGGGGCTAGCTGCCACACACCACACCTGGCTCTGAGGAGGGCCTTTCTTCATCGTTCTGACATAGACTATAACGCACCGCATTGATGGTTGTACTATAGTGCTTCACGACTAAACCCCACATTATTATTTAACTCTGTAGCTTTATAAAGACCTTCACCTCTCCGTGGTGCACCCCACCTCTCCGTGCACCTCACTCTCCGTGCACCTCACCCTCTCCTGCACCCCACACACTCCCACTCGTGCACTCTCCGTGCACCCCACCCCCATCCGTGCACCCTCTCCGTGCACCCCACCCTCCCGTTCACCTCACCTCTGTGCACCTCACCTCTCCGTGCATCTCACCCTCCGCACCCCACCCTCTCCGTGCACCCCACCTCCCCTGTTCACCTCACCTCTCCGTGCACCTCACCTCCTCCGTGCACCCCCACCCTCCCCGTGCACCTCACTCCCATGCACCCCACCCTCCGTGCACCCCTCCGTTCACCCCACCCTCCGTGCACCCCACCCTCTCCGTGCACCTCACCTGACCCTCCCTCTCCGTTCACCCCACCCTCGTGCACCCCCATGCACCCCACCTTGCACCTCACCCCCCGTGCACCTCACCTCCGTGCAACCCACCTCTCCTGTGCACCCCACCTCCGTGCACCCCACCTCCTCTCCGTGCACCCCACCTCCGTGCACCCCACCCTCTGCCTCCCGTGCACCTGTGCACACCTCTCCGTGCACCCCACCTTGTCCGTGCACCTCACTTGTCCGTCCACCGTCCGTGCACCTCACCTTCTCCGTGCACCTCTCGTGCACCACCTCTCCGTGCACCTCTCACCTCTCCGTGCACCTCACCCTCTCCGTGCCTCATCTGCACCTCACCCCTCCGTGCACCTCACCTCCGTCACCTCTCCGTGCACCCACCCTCCGTGCACCCCACCCCCTGCACCCCACCCTCCCGTCCCCTGTGCACCCCACCCTCTCCGTGCACCCCACCCTTTCCTGCACCCCACCCCTCCCCGTGCACCCACCCTCCCCGTGCACCCCAAACCCCACCCTCTCCGTGCATCCCACCCCCTGTGCACTCACCCCCCGTGCATCCCATCCTCCCCACTCACCCTCTGTGTCACCCACCTGCACCTCACCCACCTGTGCACCCACCCTTCTGTGCACCCCACACCCCGTGCACCCTCCCTGCACCCCTCCCCGTGCACACCTCACCCACCCTGTGCACCTAACCCTCTGCACCCCACCTCTCCATGCACCTCACCTTTCTCCGTGCACCCACCCGCCTGTGCACCCCCACCCTCTCCGTGCACCCCACCCTCTCCGTGCACCCCACCCTCCCTGCACTCCCCCGTGCACCTCACCTTTCTTGCACCTCACCTTCTCCGTGCACCTCACCTTCTCCGTCCGTGCACCTCACCTTGTCCGTGCACTCACCTTGTCCGTGCACCTCACCTGTCTGCACCTCACCTTGTCCGTGCACCTCACCTCCGTGCACCCTCCACCTCCCGTCCTTGCACCTCACCTGCCTCAACACCTTGTCCGTGCAACCATCACCTCTCCGTGCATTCGTGCATCTCACCTCCACCCTCTCCGTGCCTTCACCCTCACCTTCTCCGTGCACCTCACCTCTGTGCACCTCACCCCTCTCCGTGCTCCTCACCTTCTCCGTGCACCTCACTTTCTCCGTGCACCTCACCTTCTCCGCACCTCACCTTCTCCGTGCACCTCACCTTCTCCGTGCATCTCACCTCTCCCGTGCCTCACCTCTCCGTGCACCTCACTCCTCTCCTTGTCTCCGTGCACCTCACCTTCTCCGTGCATCTCACCTTCTCCGTGCACCTCACCCTCTCCGTGCATCTCACCCTCTCCGTGCACCTCACCCTCACCGTGCACTTCACCTTCTCCGTGCACCTCACCTTCTCCGTGCACCTCACCGTTTTCAATGTGACCTTGGACAGAAATACTCGTATTGTCGTGTTTCTAGCGAATAGTATGTTGTGTTACATCGATCGTCGTGGTCCTGAAGTTAAACAAACTTGTATTTCTTTCTATAATAACATAGACAATCACATCATCAGTTTTCTTGTGAATTTCTTGTTTTTGTAACTTTTTTAATCCATTCTTCTCAACTTGATTAATGTGAACCATTTCCCGTAATCGCTGAACATGGAGCCAGTTGACCGCCTGGCATTGTCTGGCAGACAGGCTGATAAGACCATAGCGACAGCCAGGGAGAGAAAGCCAGGATTAGGGAGAGGATGTGAGGATCAGGGAGAGGAAGTTAGGGCCAGGGGGAAGTCAGAGGTAGGAAGAGGAAGCCAGGACTTAGGGAGAGGATACAAGGATTAGGGAGAGGAAGTCAAGTCCAGGGAGAGGAAACCAAGAGAGGAGGGAAGGGAGAGTACCATGGGAGTAAGAGAGAATAGAGAAGGAAGTGAAGAAAAAATGAGAGAGTTAGGAAAAAATAAATGATGGAGGAATGAAAAGTAGAGTTAAGAAAACAAATGGAGAAATAAAAATAAAAAAGTGATTGCTGAGTAAAAAGTGTGGGGGGAGGGAGGGAGGATGGAAGAAAGAGTCGATAGAGAAAGGGAAAAGAGGCAAGGAAGAAAGTTAATGAAGGAAAGGAGAGGAGTACGAGGAAAAGGGGAGATGAAAGGAGTTCATTGAGAGAGAGAGAGAGAGAGAGAGAGAGAGCACACTGTCACTATATTTGTGTTGGAGGAATGGGTGGTGGGAGGGCCCTGGGTGATGGAGGGTGTGGGTCTGGGAGGAGACAGAAACACTGCCTCTGGGTCCGGGTTTGAGACTGGCTGGTAAAGGTTACTATTATATGGATATACGAGTTAATACACAGAAGTACATCCTGAAATATATTATGTTCTCCGGGCTTGGTAAAAAATGACTGTTGGGTTGTACTGGAGACCTGCGGTGCCTGGTAAGACAGAGACTATTAATTTTAGGGAGCAGCTCAGTGATGGTGTTCCTCTCCTCTACGTCAGGGACTCTGGCTCAGCCTCACTGGTAGAGATTAGCGTTATACTGTATATGGATGTGTACAACTTCAAGCTCTTGTATCTTGATTGAGAATTGGTGATGATTTATTGATCGAAAGTTTCAACTATTCTGTAAGAAAGGACAAGCGTAAAGATAATCGTTTAGCAAACTGTAACTCGGTAGCATTAGCGTTGGGGTCTTGGCGGTGTTTCCGATGAGAGAGTCAGAAGCAGTAGCGGGGTCGGCATAGGAGTTTACGTTAGTTAGTGATCATGCCTTCTTAAGGTGTAGAAGCTGTCACCAACACAACAACCTCACCCTAAGTTAATGTGTTGCGTCACCCAGTATCAAAGAATAGTCCGAGAAGACCGGACAACTCGCCAACTGCACTGGCTAACCATTACTCTAGAACACGATCCGCAAATCGATAAACATCCAGATTTCCAAATACTGCTGAGAAGACAGAAGCAAATGGCGTAAAGAAACATACATACATACATACATACATACATACATACATACATACATACATACATACAAGCCAGTAACATTTACTTTTCACACTTATTAACCGTGACTTAAGTTGACCCATAGCACAGATTAACCTTTGACCCAGACTGACCCAATACTCACCGTCGGCGGAGGTAGCGAGGCGGAGGTCGTCGGGATACTGATCAATGAGACGCTTGATGAGGTCAATCTGTTCTATGGTGAGCTGCACGGCGTTTAGTCTCTGTGACTCACAAGGCACGTAGGACACCCAGAACTGTGGGAGGACAGATATGGGTTCTGTTTTGTTTATTCATTACTGCTTCACTATTGAAGGAACAGGAGATAATGTGTGACCAGTCCCTAGCCCACCCGCACCTCCATACTAAATTTGCCAACATTCAGTCTATTTTTAAAACTGTGTAAATACAATACATCCTTCCCAGAAAGTGAAAGAAATGCATAATTCCTAATTAGATTTTATGGTATAATACAATTATAAAATACTTTTTCAGTGAAATAATTAAGCGCCAAACCACTAACGCTGAGTTCTTGAACACAATACTGTACTGAAATAACCAAATTATGTTGGACATTAATGGCTCTGAACTTATATCAGGTTACGTTATATTGGGTTCAGATGCGGCTTGTATATATATTGTATCGAAGGGTTTCAGCAAGTTACCGGTAACGGATTTTATGTTTGTAAGTATGACAGTTCCCGGCATAGTGTACTGGCCTCACACTAGTGCTCTCCGTCTGTTTTAAAGGTTGTGTGTTCGCCTCCAGCTGTAAACGGGGACCTGACTTTACAGTTGATGGTGGTCGTATAAAGTACCGGCCACGCTGCCTCCTTGTTTAATGAAGACTTACTGTTGTAATTGTTGTATAGTTTACTGTTACCTTATGAATTCGTTCCCTAAAAGGTCGTCAGGCCTAAGGAACCCACTTTTACCCATTATCTTAATGATAATGATGTTACTCTGCAATGGCCATGGAGATGTTCTCCCACATTACAACCATTGCCAGCGCGATATTGATACTGATTTAGCATCACTGAAGCGCGCCATTAAAGTGAATTACTGGTATGGTTATCTGAAAAACCTGTCAACCTATATCCTGTAAACCACAATTGTCTTATCAACATTTATTCTCACGAGTCAGGTCCTGTTTGTGTCGGGTTAGAACAGCGTGGGAAGATACTCTTGTTTAAGTCAGTGTGAGACACAGACCCAACTGAGCACCGCTTGCGCTCTCCTGGACACCAATAACATCTTCCTCGAGTCTGAGCAGGTTAGTGTTGGACAACGATCGCCATGAGCCAGCTGTTGTGTTATAAAAACTCACCTGGGCACCGACCATGCCCTCCTTGAGCCTGGGTAAGTCAGTGTGGGACCAAGAGGATCTGGACCATGGGCGAAGTTTCTTAAGTTGGGCCGTGAAGTTGAAGCTGTGAAGTTTGTTGTGCATAAACTTCCTGATATTCCACGGCAGGTCGTTGTGCCTGGGGAAGGAGTACAGGTGATCGTTATATACTGTACATAGAAACATGAGTTTTGGTAGGTAGATGAAGGAATGCTTCATAATACGTCACGCTCTCGGTCGTACACTAGTGCAGCGCATAGCCTCACCTCAAAGGTAAATGATTTTCAGACTAAAGTATTTGAGAAATGAGATTATTTCTTAATTTGCATCAATATTCAACATCAGTCCTTGGCGCCAGGATATATTTAGGGTCAAAAGGTAAAAAGATTAAATTGAGAGCATTTATGAAGTAGCTGGAGTGCAGACTAGATAACAAGAGGAACGTGCAGTGTACGTTAAGGGTAATGTGAGGGATGTCGAGGAAGCGTAGTCATCCTTCAACTAACACATGACTCAAGATGGAGACTTCAGGACATTACGTTCGCCAGATTGATCCTCACTCACACTCCGATATACCAACCATGACTATTTGTGAAAAGTTTCCTATATTACCTTATTATTATTGTTCGTTTATTTTTCTCATTGCTTGACGTATCCGACCCGACCCGACCCGACCCGACCCGACCTGACCTATCTTGAGAGACCTGGATCATACTCTGTCGACTCTGCACATCTGTCAGCGTCATCTCGCTTTATGGAGGAAGAAAGTCATATTTATCTGATTTTCTAAAAGAGAAGTGAGTTTAGATCTCCAGGAAGAAGACTCACAACTTCCAACTTTTTTTTCCAGACTTTCTGATTGTGTCAGAGAAGTTTGTTCATTTTGTTCCTCAGTTTCTGTTATAGAGCCTTGCCTGTCTGTCTGTCTAGCATAGGTATAAGGATTCTTGTCTACCTGGTGTCGTGGGTACAAGGTGTCGCGGGTACAATGTGCCCTGAAGCTAATATAGCCATACATAATATAATATAACCTAACTTATCCTTGACTAATAAAACACATTCCAATCTACCGTAACGTAAGGTGAAACAAGTAGCAGTACGCTCAGTGTGTGTAGACGCCTTGTAGTCGATGCCCCACGAAGAAGGTGTTGGTAGAGAGAGAAATAAGGGATGAGGTTGTAGATCTAAACCAAAATGTGTAATAATGATAGAGGTCAAAGAACCGATGAAACAAAACAAACAAAATAACATGAGAGAATTACTGTACGTCACTGACCCGTCGAACAGCGGTGTGTCTGTAAGCAGAGTCTTGGTTGTAGTGAGACGTTGTTCCAGGGAAGCTCCAGGGTCGACGCGCAGAGCCAGAGGTACACCCACGCCCACGCCTGCCACGCCTGCCAGCACCACAACCACGCACACCCACGCCCTGGTTCTCGTTCCTATCCCTCCTCCTTCTGCTGGAATAACATTATCACTCTTCAACCAGGGAAAATAATATATTAACTGGAGGAACGGGAAAGAAAATGGGGTTTAAAGAGTCCTGGTAAACAAACTATTATCAAATATTTCAAAAAATAGTTAGTTAATATTTTAGAGAGACAAATATGAACAATAATTTATAGCAGGAAATTGGAAGTGAGAAAATAGGTAAAAACACACATCGATATAATGACATACACAAGGATAAAGAAAAGAAAAGTTAGATAAACAGTATAATAAATGGAGAGAGAGAGAGAGATGAATATATTGAGAAACAATAAGCGATAATTTTTTTAGTTTTACAGTTAGATAAAAACCTGTTTCCCGAAGTAATTTTCCTGTTAACAATACAATAGTTTTACTATTAATGACAAAATGTAAAACTTGAGTCTGAAGGTCCGTCAAAGGAGAGTTTAAAATGGTACCTGGCGAAATGGGCCAAATAGACGCCAGTGTAACCTTACCTAACCTAACCTAACGTACCAGTAGAAATAGTTTATTATGACGGGGGTACAATAGAAGTGAGGCCCATTGTAACTAGAAATAAATCCCTTTGTTTAATGTACTAGGACTGGGACCCATTAAGATTGGCTCCTACCCCTAATTATCAGGACTTATTAGGATGCCGGGGCTTTATAATGAAGGCCTATTAGGACCCAGATTATGAAGGTAAAATATTAAACGGAAATGAAATAAATAAAGTTAGAGCTGGTTAATGATCGGTAAAGGTGGGAATAGTTATTGAGTGGAGAATAAAGGGGAAACCTGGACACAATGAAAGAAAAAAGGTGGAATGGTGTATAATGTTTGGGAGGAGAAAGAAAGAAGACGAGGAAGATAAAAGGAAGTAGGAGATATATATTAAATAGGAAGACGAAGGAATGAAAGAGGCCCTCCGAGCCATGACTGAATGAGAGAATATCAGAATGAAGGAATGTAATTTGAATGGTATTAAAGATGAAAGGAGAGAGGCAGTGATAGTGGGCGAGATGACTCAGAGAAGAGAAGAGAAACTATGAAGAAAAGTATTTAATCTTCTCGAAATAAAAAGACGAACATTAAAGCATCGCTAATAGTTAACAATTTGACTGACAAAAAAATAATGTTAAAAAAAAACTTACAATTTAAGTGTTTACATTGAAGACCAACGTCGAGTCTTAAATAATGACGATAAGACCCGACAATCCAAATGACAGAGTATAGAAGAAAAACAAGCGAGTGTAGAGCAACGTCTTATATTTTGTCTGGCTGCTGATTCCGACGGGGACAAGAAACAAACGAAGATAAAGGAGGCGAGCAAGTGGGTCTCACAGCAGGAACCGGAGTGGTTATTGACCAGATACAAGACTTTATAGTGACCTGGGACTTGGTGCTAAACATTTTGGATTTGCGACCTGATTTGCTAAACTTATTGGAATTTTATGTACGATAGTAGTTATAAAGTTTGTATTTGTCGTTAAAGTAACTAAACAAAAACATTTATCCTTCTAATGCCCAGTAAGTGTGTCCAGAAAAGCGAGGTAAAGGGATCAATCACGAGCGAGAAAGATAATCCGAGCAATAAAAATCTTTTCCTAAATTGAAAACTCACAATTGTTTTCACTTTTTCCTTTATAACTTTTTGGTCTAGTGAATAATGTTAATCTTAGAATCTAGATAAAATACATAACCCTACAGCAGGTACTGAGGCTTAGAGAAGATCCAATATTATTATTTTTTTATATCATAATGGCAATATTGTCCTGTCAAGTCTCGAGAAAATCTGTACACGTCTTGGAGAGTGATCGTTCTCATATGTAGGAGAGACCACGAGCAAGACGGACACATACTCTCATAATATCCTGCAAACCTGTCAAGGAATTTAACATTAATAAAAGTGATGATAGTACACCATGGCGGTAACTGTACCTTTGTGTTTGCTGGTTGGTGATGACTGGTGGTGACACGCGTGGTCCTCCTTCCCCAAGTCTGAAGCGGCCGAACTTTTGGCCAGATGGACCGAGCACCCATTGGTCAGCCTGTCCATCGACTTGATCTAGGACGAAGCAAGATCACAGCATGACAATATGGGCACGTCACCAACGCATTGATAACGATAAGAGTTGACAAGGGCAGAAAATGTAAATAGAGTACACTGTCACAGCCTCGATATAGTGGACTGACTCAGCCTCGGTATAGTGGTCACAATAGTCAACAGAAAGTAGCACAAGCTTAAATGGTAATTACAGTATAACAACAGAAAGAAGAGAGACGAAACAGAAGGACCTTTGATAATAAGAGATAAAAAACTTACAGAGTAGTTGCCGTAGCCGAGGTGGTCACAGGAACACTGGCACTTGAGGATGTGGTCCTTAATATCTCCAGGAAGGTCTTCTAAACTCCTGCTAGGTTGCCGCCCCTCAGTCCACGAAGTCTCTGTCGTTAACCCCAATGTATCGCTCAGCCGCCCCTCCACTCTCGTCTCCTCTGGTACCTAATCCACCATAAGGAATTTGTTTTATCAATTAAACCTAAGTCATATAAATATAGCCCACGCTTATGCTATATGTAAAATATTCCTGGTTTTGTCCTTCTATCATGCTTTTCAACACACCTGGTCTAGCGGTGCACAGGATTATGTAAGCCATCAGAAAAAAAGGTTTCGCCTGCTTCTCTCAAAGCCTAACGGGTGACAGTCGGGGGAAACGAGGTCAGGGCTGTTTGGTGGGTGACCGAGAACTTCAAACTCCAACTGCAGCATAACTTTACCAGCTGATAGTCGAGTTCTTTAAAGGTGGAGACGTTGTGTGTTTGACTGGTGTTTGCTTTCAGATTCAAAATGGCGTTTTAGCTGGAGGTGTCTTGTGCTTTGACCGATCGTTACTCCCCTATCGTCGTAAACCATCGCATTTTTAACATTGGTGTTTAACGTAGACGGCCACCCTCAGCCATCTGTCTCGGCGACTTTATTATGTTTGGGCAGCGCGGTACATGTCAACAGTGGTGCGGCCAGCACGGTACATGTCAACAGTGGTGCGTACAGCAAGGTACATGTCAACAGTGGTGCGGCCAGCACGGTACATGTCAACAGTGGTGCGGCCAGCACGGTACATGTCAACAGTGGTGCGGCCAGCACGGTACATGTCAACAGTGGTGCGGCCAGCAAGGTACATGTCAACAGTGGTGCGGCCAGCACGGTACATGTCAACAGTGGTGCGGCCAGCACGGTACATGTCAACAGTGGTGCGGCCAGCACGGTACATGTCAACAGTGGTGCGGCCAGCACGGTACATGTCAACAGTGGTGCGGCCAGCACGGTACATGTCAACAGTGGTGCGGCCACGTTCACCGCGCAACAAGAATTGGAGTGTCAAGATATGAATCACTTCGTCGCCACTGTAGACAATCCTTAAAAAAACAGTTAAATTGTGAACACTTTTATGTTACCCTAGAGAAGGATGTTAGAATTATAGCAACAGGACTTACCTGAGAGAGGGAGCCGTGGGGGCACCTGCAGGATAGCTGGTACTCTTCAGGCGTGACCAGCATCCTCGGCCACCCATGGTTCCTAGAGATCTTGGAAGGCCTCTGCAGGTCCTCGTTGGTAGGACGTGCTGGGTCTAGTGTCCTAGAGTAGACCTCTGTGTTAGTATCATGACACTGGTGAGTGTCTGGCAGGGGACATTCACACTGCCCTCTGGTGTCCGTCACATCAGGGCGGGAATACCTTACCCTTGACCACGTTTCTGCTAGTTTCCGAGAGTCTTCCTTTATGTGGGACCTGTAGAGACACTTCGAGACATCCTGTGCGTGGTGTTGCTCCCCGGGGGACACCACAGGGGTTATGGTCACACTGGGGGATGTACGAACACCATCATCAACGTCACTGTTTTTCATTTTGTAGGAACAATTTATGTAGCCTTAGTAATCCATAGTTATGTTTCATGATCTACTTTATTAAGTCAAGTGTAAAATACATCTCCTTCACTCACTCATCTTACAATTATTGAACATATTGATCGCTTTCCAATCACCTACAGAACTCTACAGGATAATTAGTTTCTGTTTCATGCCGATCACCCGCTTCATCTATCCTAGTATACACTTTCACACTTACAACATGAAGAGGATGTCCGGTAAATATCTTTCACTGAATGTTGAGTTACTTAAATATTTCTCTCTATCTTTCTGTATACTGTACCGGACTTTCCTCTCGGTTAATAACGCACTTCAAGCCGTCTGACTGTATTATATTAACGAAGTTTTTCAGACATATTATCATCCCAACCTTGAGGCTCTAAATAGCGAATGTTCAGCTATTGATCGTCCGTTGTGGTAATGTATAACAACAGTACTGGTTTATCATATGTTAATACATATCCAATTCTGTTTATTATTAATCGTGTTTAAAGAATATTTTATTTCCTGGAAATTTTCATTAACATAATTTCTAAAGTAAATTTCTTGTCACACTGGCCACTGTCAGCCACACAACAGTTGTTAATCGTGTTCTTAGATTACTGCGGGGGACTCATAGTGCAGTGTAACCATTAAAGTAATTATCACTAGAAATGATCTTTTCAGCCATAAGACACACGTTCTTCTTCATTCTAAGAAAATTATCACACTACTTCAAAGAATCAAATTAATTCAAACGTCGAAATTTTAAACTTATTCAGTTGATAAGTTTATTGTATCAGCACTGTACGTGAACTTCTGTTGCAAACATAATTACAAGTATTATTTGAAGTTTCAACAAGCGCGTGCACGTGTGTGTGTGTGTGTGTGTGTGGTGGGTTGGCAGAGTATCTATTGTAAGTGTCCCGTGCACCCTACCAGAGGCTCGGGACCTCACTGACTACCTCGTCCTCCTGGCTCCTGCTCGCTGTGCTGTCCCGCGAGCTGCCAGTGGTAGGGCAGAGAGAAGTCGCCGTAGATGTGTAAGCTGCTCAGGAGTTGCGTCTGTAGGGGAGTAGTAATCATAGCTCTTTCAAGTGCCAGATGGCTATATAGAAGTGAAGTTATCTTATTTACGTCTGTGTTAGGTTATTACTCAGCGCCACGTTTCTGTCGAATCTGGCACGTGTTGTAAATGTTTGTGAAGTGTTGAGGTTAACTCACAAGCTGTGTGTAAAATGAATTGATATAGGCCACGTTAGGCCTAGCCTTTGTTGATGAAACTGGCACCACCAACTGTTATTCCACACTGTATGAAATTTTCTTGATCTTTTGTTTTTACTTTTATCCTCCGCCACTAATCGGCCCATTAGCTGCTTGAGCAATCAGTCGCGTCTCTGTTACACACTGTTGACAAGTACTGAGCATCTACTGTCTCTGTTACACACTGTTGGCAAGTACTGAGCATCTACTGTCTGGTTTTTTTTTACGGGTATTAGCCCACCCGGGCACAGGTCACTGACCCACATCGGGGCCTGGGGGGCGAAAATTTAATAATAATAGTAATTCATAGTAAATAAAATTTATAATAAAAAGTAAAATAAAATAATAATAATAATGACAACACTGTAATGATGATAATAAAGAAAAGAAAAACAATAATCAATAGTGAGAAATGCTATATGTATAGTATGTTGTGTTGTCAATAGTAAGAGAAACAATTGAGACCCTGCAATTGCGTGTAAATGAGGCAGAAAGTCAAATCAGCAACCTGGGACTTGGTCACAATATTCGTGATGCCATATGGCAGCAGGGTCTACCATTAGACAACACATTATGCTTCCAATATCTTCCCAGGCGGTAGTACCTCCCTGTTTGATAGCTGCCTGCTACCTACTACCAACACTGTTGGCAAGTACTGGGCATGCACCGGCTCCTGAATGTGTATGCAGTACCTGTTAGACCTCGGGTCAACTCTGGTCTTGAATGACCTCACACTCGGTGCCGTCACAACACTCTGGCAGATTGCTCCAAGAGTTCACAACACACACGCCAAAAAAGTTTGCCCTGACACTTTTCTGAATTTGTGGCTTCTTAAACCTTAAGCTGAGACCTCTAGTGGGGAGGACATCCTCCAGCTCAAGGGAGTTGCACTCTGTATGTGGATTAAAACAATCGTCGTGATGAAACTCCTGATATAAACACCATTCTTAGGGTCGCTAGTTTAAAATGCCATTTTAAAGTTTCCTTCCACGTTTATATTATCTTAAAATGACCACGTGCCGGTTAACATTCGTACATTGACTAGCGCAAAAATAAATTCTTATTAACATTTATTTACATTAATGCGAAAGTAAATTCTTCTTAACATTTATTTACGCTAGCGCGAAAATAAATTCATAATGTGTAACTAACAATCATTAAGCTGTCGCGAAATTAATGTCTTTCAAACACGAAATAAAACTAAGGCAATAACAATAATCTTCATTACACATAAATATATAATTTTCGCCACTTAACAGGTTACTAGGTTAACGAACACGAAATTAATGTCCCGTAAAATATAATAAAATGGCGGGAAAATAGTGTGTTTCCATCCACCACAATAATAAGAGTGATTCTAGTAATTGTAATGCAACAATTTAAATTAATTCATAAAACACCGCCATTCAGCAACCTACTACTGTGTACTCTTGTGTTTACACCAGTATTTGACATCGTCATTTAACTCAGTAGTTATAAACCTGGTATTTAAATACCACAAAATACTGCAGTGGATTTCTCCCCTACAAACGCTTGTCGCTGAGTCGCCGACCCCACGAATTCCCCAGTGTATGCCTCGTGGTCTAGGTCAACTAGCGCCGCCTTACATGACGGAGGTCAACTACTAAGCCACGCCTACCTCCGCTATTTAAGACCTGACCTCGTGGTGACCTACCGCTCTCTTTTCTACCTACACCAACCAGCAAGCAACACCTCCTCCTCCGCCGCTGCTTGGCGGCCCTCGTTCCCGCCGGCGAGCATGGCGACCCACAAGCTGTCCTCCTCTGAGCATCCTCACCAACCAGCTCTCTCTTCATTACGCTTGTAACCACGCTGCCACTTCCCAGCCCCAAGCTGCATTGTACATTCAATACAACATGTATTCAGAGAGCACATTGTGAGTTTCCCTTCTCCATCCCATCCTGAGTGTGAACCAAACAACCCATATCCCACAATACTACTTTGTTAACAATATCATTTCATTTCGTCATTTAAGTTCATTCATACGTATATCAGATTATTTTCATTTACTTTATTCATTTCAATTAACGAGCCGATTAGTGGTGAAGAGGATATTTGGAAAAATATGTCAAGGGTTCGAGTCTCGGCACAGGCACACGTGAGAAGGGTGTTATCCAGTGTGACCCTCACTACCAAACACTACAGGTTTCCCTGTCCCTGGTTTCCTCTAGTACTAATACTGGACAGACCGCCCTAACGGCTTGCAAGCTGGTAAGTGGTGAAAAAAAACAACAACTTATATATGTTCCTAAAAAGTACTTTAGTTACCCATAACCATGCTCTTACACGGTTATGAAAGAAAACGAACTATATATATATATGGAAGACTTAACTATTCCTCTGTAGCTCAGACGCGATGTTTTCGATTTACTTTTACCTTTATCCTCTCCGCCACTGATCGGTTCGTTAACCGCTTTGGGGGTCCGTCACTTCTAGGTTACGCACGTGGGTAACGGTTCGTCCATTGGCTGTCCTCAAGGTTTTAATACGAGAATATTTATTATTTTTTTTCGTGAGTTTTACTCAAATCTGACTTTTATTTTTCGTGCAAATTAGCAGTTTTTGCAAAAAAAAAAATCATTAGTAATAGAAACCGCTAATTTGCACGTAAAGGAGTTCATATTTGAGAAAAACACACACACACACACACACACACAAAAGTAGATAGGCAGCTACCAAACAGGGAGGTAGTACTGCCTGGGAAGATATTGGAAGCCTATTGTGATGTCTAATGGTAGACCCTGCTGCCATATGTGACCAAGTCCCAGGTTGTTGATCTGACTTTCTGCCTCATTTACACACAATTGCAGGGTCTCAATTGTTTCTCTTAACATTGACAACATAACATACATATATATTGTTTCTCACTCTTGATCTTTTTTTTTATTTCTTTATGGTTCTTTATTATGATTATTGCATTTATTATTATTATTATTATTATTATTATTACTATTATTATCATTATTATTTTATTTTTTTTATTTTACTTATCTGAATTATTATTATTATTATTATTGTTGTTTTTTTGTTTTTTGTTTTTTTTGGGGGGGCACCCCCCTACATCCTTGTATAAGGTGAAGCGCCTTTATGTCTCATGAGTTAAGGGCGTAGAAGCCTGAAGAGTCAGTGGTTTATGTCATCAAGTTATTGGAAGCTCCAACAACTCCCTGAATACGAATTCGCAACTTTCGACTTACACCAGGTACCTACTTTATTGCTTGGTGAACAGGGACTAATGGGGGCTAGGAAGTAAGTCCAAACAACTTCCACCGGCCCGGGAATAGAACCCGTGACATCTGGCTTGCGAGGCAAGAACGGTACCGTTGAAAATAGGACTCACATAAGCCATTTTCCAGTCACTGAGGACCTTATGCTCATTCAGGCATCTACAAAACAGGATCTTAAGGGGCTCAGCAAGCTCATTGCACTTTGGGATGCACCATGTTAAGGCCGAGACTCTTATTAACCTTTATCTTTTACAGTTTATTTCTTATACCCTCTTCTGAGAACACAATGTGTCAGCGCTGTATCAAACCGTCTTTCCTCAAACGCAGGAAGATTGTTTGTATCTTCTTTTGTGAACTCTTGATTTTTTTCGGGGGGTATAATGAGACAAAGACAAAATTGTGTGTGAAAATCTTTTATTAAAGTAATTTACGATCGTTGTTCTCGAAGGTTTGTGAGGAGGAATGTGTCTGTAAAAGAGAATAACTCCTGTCAGGTATAAAACAAACACACACACACTCAACAGCTAGTGAGTTATTCCGCCACATTAGTAGGATGCTGGTCCACCCAAGGGGCTGTTCCACCGTCACTAGCTCCACCTAGTGGTGTACACACGCAACAAAAAGTATCGGTGCATACTGTAGTGTGAACATTTTGAGACCAGTGACGATAGGTATTGGGAAAGGCGAGTTGTTCCAGCCGTATGTTGGCAGCCCTGATTGTCAGCCATATGGCAACACCTAGTGGAGGCGCGGGGAGGGGGGGGGTTATGAGGATACACTCACCAACCTTCCCGACATATCACAGTGTATACTTATCGTTTCAGAACTAATCGATCTCACCCTGCACCGATACTTTTTGGTGCGAGTGTACATGGTTTGAAAACAAGGAGCCAAATCTTTCACTTCAGTCGGAGGCAGTGACGGGGGCGGGTAGGGGTGGTGGTTGATAATGGTGATGATGGTAAATAATGGTGATCATGATGGTGATGGATGATGATGATGATAATGATGATGGTTAATAATGGTGATTGGTGATGAAGAGAGTGATAATGCTAGTGATGACAAGAAACAACCAACATCTTACCAGCTATCCACCTGTCATGGCAATAAACCTTCCCGTGATGATGATGATATGATGATGATGATGATGGCTGTCTTTCCGTTGCCTGGATAATTAACAAACTAATTAATGATCACTTCCCTTCATCATATATATTTATACCCATCATTTATAATTTTTGTCTCGTTAATATATAAAACGAGAGAGAGAGAGAGAGAGAGAGAGAGAGAGAGAGAGAGAGAGAGAGAGAGAGAGAGAGGTTTAATCTTTCGTTAATTACACTAAAAAATACCACCGAGTCTCTTTGTTTGTCAAATTTTTACCTTCCTCTATTTCTATGGTTATCCCTCTTTACTACTGTCTATTCACTGTTTTAACCTCCTCCTCCTCCTCCTCTTCCTCCTTCTCCGTTCTCAACCCCACTGAGAGATAACGGAGTGTCCCCAATAATTCTCATTACCTCTAATTCTCATCTTTTGGTCTGGTGTGTGAGATGCTGAAGTGTTATGATTGGCTGTAGCAACCGGATGTCCTCACTCATTGGTGGCTGGTTCTCCTCCCTCCACTAATTAGCGCGTCCAGATATCTAGGCAAAAGCGTAAACAAAATTGGTGACTCTTTTATCATATAGACCTTAATATGATCCTAACCTTGATATTCAGAACACACATCATACAGAAATATATTACTGTAGATGTTTGATTTATAAAATATATGAGTATGCAGTATATGGCAAGTCATAGGAATAGTTGCTTGAGTTTTGTTAATATGAAGGTCAGGGAAGGAAGTGTTGTACTGTCTTTCATTGATATTTCGTTTTTGTTATATCTCTTGTTAAATTATTCAAGAGTAAATCTCCTTTTTGTTGTTGTTAGATTTATTCTAATGTGATGAGAATTTATCTTAGTCATATTAACCCTCTGAGGGATGTGTTCAATAATCCTCCCCATTATAACAACAACCCAACAACAAGAAAAAGCAACCTACTCAGATGAACACTCCGGAGTTGTGTACAATGTGTTCCACCATAACGTTGACATGTATGTCCGGTGTACTTGCTTCTTTGTTTCCTTGCTTCATTTTCCCTTGCTTCCTTGTTTCAGTATAACATGACAGCGGGGTCACTTGTGGTCTTGTGGCTTACAGCGTTCATTGATGCTGTATAAAAAAAAAAACTCCAAAGCGGTATATTTAGTCCCTCGTTTCCTTATGTTTTTCTCTATTACAACAAACTTGGGTGCATTCTTAAGCCCTGGTAGAGAGAGAGAGAGAGAGAGAGAGAGAGAGAGAGAGGTCGCTGCAGTAGTTAGCGTGAGGTGCTTGGTGGGAGCTGCCGTACGGTGTGTAAGGATCCCCCTCAGGTTTCTACTTCACTGTGTTGCTGTGTGTGAGGGTGGGGGTGAGTTCATCAGCTATAAGGCCTCATTGACTGGAAGACCTCGGCGTGGCTGGTGCAGGGGGGGTGTCAGTTAGACATGGGAGGTCTATGTGTCAGCCAGAGGTGGGTCATCAGACTTTGGTTTGTGTCAGCACACTCAAACCAAAGTTGGTTCACCCTGGGCGATGCCGTTGTCAGCAGACCGTCGACACCTCTCCGTCGCTGCTAAAACCCGATTCATTGCATTTGTAGTTTCCATCGTTACACTTGGAGCTGCTGTCAGCGCACCTAGAGCTGCTGTCAGCGCACCTAGAGCTACTGTCAGCGCACCTAGAGCTGCTGTCAGCGCTCCTACATCTGTTGTCAGCGCACCTAGAGCTGCTGTCAGCGCACCTAGAGCTGCTGTCAGTGCACCTAGAGCTGCTGTCAAGATACCTGGAGGCATCAAGAATTATTTCATCATTGCCATCAGGGGAGGGCAAGAATCTCCTCGTCACAAGACCCGACAAGTTAGGGCTCTTTTGCTTCCGCAGCATGACAGCTTCTTGGGGCTCTTTCGCACCCCGTCCATGTTGGTGTCCTGCGTCAGGGCAGGACTTTTCAGGGAGGTTCCTCAGGAGGTCAATCACCTGCAGGAACCCTGGCACCAGAGGCTTGATGTCCCATCCTTCGTCCAGCTCCACCCGCAGGCCTGCCACAGTACAGGAGGTCATTACAGCTAATTCTGATGAGAAATGTGGTGTTATAGAAAGTGTGTTTTGAAAACATTAACATGAAGCTGACTGACAATGTGGCAAAACTAATATATTTATGTGTAATGTGATGAGCATCTGTATAATAGAAAAAACTAACATTCATAATGGCAGCAACTAACCTAACCTAACCTAACCTGATATAGCAGAGGTAATGGAACTAGATGATGATCCGTCACCCTCGTAAGCGTAGGCTCGGAGGTCATCCTTGGCCAGAAGAATCTCTGGCTTGGTTCCTTCCATAGCGCCCTCGGGAGACCCTAAGTTCATACTTGTTAAAAAGGAAACATCCTTGCTCTGCTGGTCGTCTGGCGAAGAGGAAAAATACAGTGAAAAACAGGTTCTAACAATCTGCGAGTGACCTTCACCGTAGGAATTAAGTAAATACAAGTTCCTCCTACAGGTGTATCCCGCACGTGTGTCGGGCCAGGACTCGAACTCAGGACTAGGCGTACCATAAACACTGTTATCCATTGTTATTAAAGTGTTATACAACGTTGATCTGCTCCTTTACATGTTAGGTTCTGATGATGATATAAAAGTAACCATTAATATTATTCAAGAAGGTAAAGGTGTTTAAGTAAGCCCTGGTGATTCACCTCCTTGTGGAACTAAGTTTTTTCACCTGAAAGATCCACAGCCGATGTAACCACCACTTGTTTCACCCTTAATCATAGACTGTGAGGTATGTTAAAGTCCGTCAACCAGAGGGTCACAACTTTACCTGTTATGCCGGATTGTCCACACGACGCCACCTTCAGCTTGAGACACTCAACTAGGGTCTCCTGTGTGTCGTCTGGCCTCAAACTCCTCAAATCTGTGTCGTCGATGTCACTGTATTTCGCATCTACAACGGTCACATCCTCGCCTCCTGCCCCGCCCACCAACCCTCCAGGGACGAGGTTAGTCCTTCGGCGGCGGAGGCGAACAGAGTAGAGAACGCCGAGTAACACTGCCGAACAGAGAAGTAAAGTCCATTATAAGTGACTTACTGTTTTTTGGCTTCAAGATTGTTTTTAGTATCCGGCAGAAGGTGAGTCGTCGCTGAGGGAATAACAGCAACAATATATCATCGATTAGATAAAGAAAGATAAAACTTACCAAGGATGAGGAGGGAGACACAGAGGCCGAGAATGGCTGCCGGAGCCGCTGACGGGTGGGCCGCGCCCGCCACTGTGGTCCACTGGCAGTACTCTCCGGTGTGGCCTGGGCTACATACACACAGGAACCCGGACCGCTGGTTGTAGCAGGAGCCTCCGTGTAAACAAGGCTTCCAGAGGCACTCATCCACGTCCTGGCACTGACGGCCCTCGAGGTGTCTTCCCGGCCCGCAGCTGTGAAGGTTAACATCCTCATATTGTTATTGTCATGGAGAGAGTATCACTGTAAGCATACACCTGACGAACATTCACCTGGTATAGCTTCCGTAAGAATCTCACTGTAGGATGAAGAAGAATGCCAGGCATGGCAGCTCGTGTAGGCGCTGTTTTGTGGTACCATTATCCTCGCCTTTATACGATGCAGTCAATCATTACAATGAACAATGAATAACTTAACCAACTTTACAGTGTCACATAATTGACTTCATGGAGCATTAAATGAAAATGTCTTGCTTAATGAATAACTAAATTGCGTTTAATTAATCTCAGGAAGCAATATACAATGGCACACACGGCCCAGCTAAGTTCAACACTGCTCCTCAAAATCGACAACTTTGTTAGTTTTCTTCCTCACCTACAGGTTGGCTGCCCCCAGGTCGGGGTACAGGAGAGTGGGGCGGGGCAAGTGGTGTTGGGGCAGGTCTCCGGGTTAGGGCAGCCGCGCCCCAACCCCTCAGAGGTGGTGGCTTGACCCCAGGTGGTGCCGTTCACAGCTGGAGGTAGAGGCAAGGGCCGCCCGCACACCCGAACATCGTCAACACAAGCTGTTGGTGACACGGTGGTGATGGTGGTAACTGCTGCTGTTGTGTTACTGTTATTATTGCTGTTGTTGTTCTAAATACTGTTATTGTTGTTCTAAATACTGTTATTATTGTTGTTCCTAATACTGTTGTTGTTGTTCTAAATACTGTTATTGTTGTTGTTCTAAATACTGTTATTGTTGTTCTAAATACTGTTATTATTGTTGTTCCTAATACTGTTGTTGTTGTTCTAAATACTGTTATTGTTGTTGTTCTAAATACTGTTGTTGTTGTTGTTGTTCTAAATACTGTTGTTGTTGTTGTTCTAATTACTGTTGCTGTTGTTCTAAATAATGTTGTTGTTGTTCTAAATACTGTTGTTGTTGTTCTAATTACTGTTGTTATTTAAAGTCTTCTAAATAATACTTTACCATCTATTATTGTAACCGTTAATACTCAAGCCTCGTTAAGTGTGTTTTAGTACTATGAAAATTAATAAGAATTTTGATTCTATTTTTAACCCTACGTGACTGACTATACTCTGACTCAACCCTACGTGACTGACTATACTCGGACTCAACCCTACGTGACTGACTATACTCTGACTCAACCCTACGTGACAGACTATACTCTGACTCAACCCTACGTGACTGACTATACTCTGACTCAACCCTACGTGACTGACTATACTCTGACTCAACCCTACGTGACTGACTATACTCTGACTCAACCCTACGTGACTGACTATACTCTGACTCAACCCTACGACTGACTACGACTATACTCTGGCTCAACCCTACTGACTATACTCTGACAGCTCAACCCTACGTGACTGACTATACTCACAGCTCAACCCTACGTGACTGTGCTCGGACTCAGCCTACGTGACTGACTATACTCTGGCTCAACCCTACGTGACTGACTATACTCTGACTCAACCCCTACATTGTTCTCTCCTGGCTCAGCCTACGTGACAGACTATACTCTGACTCAGCCCTACGTGACTGACTATACTCTGTGACTCAACCCTACGTGACCTGACTATGCTCTGGCTCAACCCCACCGTGACTGACTATACTCTGACTCAACCCTACGTGACTGACTATACTCCTGACTCAACCCTACGTGACTGACTATACTCTGACTGACTCAACCGTGACTGACTAACTATACTCTCGACTGACTAACCCTACGTGACTGACTATACTCTGACTACTCAACCCTACGACAGACTATACTCTCTGACTCAACCCCACGTGAACTGACTATACTCTGGCTCAACCCTACGTGACTGACTATACTCTGACTCAACCCTACGTGACTGACTATACTCTGACTCAACCCTACGTGACTGACTATACTCGACTCAACCCTACTGACTGACTGACTATACTCTGACTCAACCCTACGTGACAGACTATACTCTGACTCAACCCTACGTGACTGACTATACTCTGACTCAACCTACGTGACTGACTATACTCTGACTCAACCCTACGTGACTGACTATACTCTGACTCAACCTACTACTGTGACTGACTGACTACTCTGACTCAACCCTACGTGACTGACTATACTCAGACAACCCTACGTGACTGACTATACTCTGACTCAACCCTACGTGACTACTATCTCGACTCAACCCTACGTGACAATACTGACTCAACCCTACGTGACTGACTAGCTCAACCTGACTGACTGCCTCTGACTCAACCCTACGTGACTGACTATACTCTGACTCAACCCTACGTGACTGACTATACTCTGACTCAACCCTACGTGACTGACTATACTCTGACTCAACCCTACGTGACTGACTATACTCTGACTCAACCTTACGTGACAGACTATACTTTAGACTCGACCCTTCGTCATGGTGAAACACATAGCCTCAGACTCACTGTAGTTAAGGTCGTGGTGAACAGCAAGGAGCTTCACCCCCACAAACTCCGGTAGGCCTCCCACGGTCACTGCGTCGTGCTTGTCTACGTCTAAGGGCGTCGGCGGCACTTTCCCCACGACCCCCGCGCCTGTTGTCGTGGGGGTGAGGGTCGGCAGGGAGTCGTTCCGTCGTGGCCAGCCGTCCCCGTCGTCCACACTGACAAGGAGGTTGTCGCCGTGTCGTTGGGCCACGACGGTGTGCCATTCTCCGTCCCCCAGTGGACGGTTTTCAACACACACCATCTGTTCCGTTAACCCCACGCCCGTCACCGAGGCGCACGCCACGCCCGCTCGCAGCTATAATGTATACACCTAAAATTACACACACACACACGTACATATACATGTATGTGTGTGTGTCTTTAATTCAATAAGTACAACGTTTACTGTGATCAACGTATTAGTTTATGAAGGTAAAGGTGAACGTACGTGTATACTGAAGGAGGCAGAGCCATGCTGGGCTGAGAGTCGCAGCAGGAGGCCATGGATCGCCCCGCGGGTCCTGAGTCGCACCTGGGCAGTGATCGCTCGGGGTGGCGGAGTGAACGACAGCGCCACCTTATAGTAACTCGAGGGCCGTAAGGAGGCGGGTACAGTGGGCGTGGCACACTCGTCCCCCGTCCATCCTGGATCACACTCACACTCCGGGTGGTTCAGGCCGCCCACACACTGCCCACGGAGTCCACAACTGCCCCTTCCGCCCACACAAGCTGCTTCCTGTGAGTGGCAGCCGCTCTCGCTGGCCCGGCTGTAGGCTGGCTCCCCGAGGTCAACCAGCTGTAAGTACGTAGGTGAGTAAGTCGGTGGGTAGGTAGGTAAGTGGGTGGGTGGGTAGTTAGATGGGTGTTTTTGGTCTGACAATAGTAACATCAGAGTAATGTGTAGTTCTCACCCGGCCGTTGACTGTGAGGTGAGAGACACAGCCATTAAGTGGGTGTTCGCTGGGTGCATTTCTCCAACCGTGGGCGTGAGGGCGTGGTGACGTGTGTGCCAGTCCGCCCACCTGCAGGGGCCCAGATCCCGACCATGTCCCTGCGTCCCCTGGGTTGATCCATGAACTGCGTGCCATGCAGTGTGAGCCGTCCCGGGTGTCGGCGTCCTCCCAGCCACGCCCACACAGGTCTATCATCATCGCCACGCCCTACATTACGCACGCCCATCAGCAAGATAGTTGGGAACTTTAAAGTAATAATATTTCACGTTTTTAAATTGAAAATTGAAGTTAAAAAGATAATGAAAACAGTAAGATACCCACAAAGAATATTGACTTTAGTCAGAGTAAGACATCTATGGCTGCTTGCCATCACTCACAGAACGTCTTGTTGTGTGTAGGATGAAACATGTAAGGCAGGAGAGAGTTTTATAAATGTAGAGCACAGTTACGAGAGGGATGGTCGTGTGTCAGTGATGTGATGACTAAGAGTAGGTCACAAGGTGAAGCGTCCGGGGTCAGAGAGCTTGTGAGGAGAACTAAGGAAAACTACGATTCACGCTTCCAAACCTGAGACATTGTTCTCATAAAGGATGAATTTTATATGTTTAACGATAATAATGGAGAGAAATGTTGGGTATTGTCTGGTCTACTCACAAGGATGTTTTAATACTCGAGTGTTGACTGTGAGCTGTTGTCTGGTCTACTCACAAGGATGTTTTAATACTCGAGTGTTGACTGTGAGCTGTTGTCTGGTCTACTCACAAGGATGTTTTAATACTCGAGTGTTGACTGTGAGCTGTTGTCTGGTCTACTCACAAGGATGTTTTAATACTCGAGTGTTGACTGTGAGCTGTTGTCTGGTCTACTTACAAGGATGTTTTAATACTCGAGTGTTGACTGTGAGCTGTTGTCTGGTCTACTCACAAGGATGTTTTAATACTCGAGTGTTGACTGTGAGCTGTTGTCTGGTCTACTCACAAGGATGTTTTAATACTCGAGTGTTGACTGTGAGCTGTTGTCTGGTCTACTCACAAGGATGTTTTAATACTCGAGTGTTGACTGTAAGCTGAAATAAAATCTGGCATTGAACGTTTTTACGGGAAGCACCAGACAGCGACGGAAGGCACTGTGATGGTGTAATGTTGTAAATACTGAGAGGAGGCGAGCATACAGGGAGAAAACATACAAATATGACATCTATTTGTTCTCTGTGTAAAAAGGAGGATATTATTCTTACCTGAGAACTGAAGTGGAGGTGGAGGGTGTGCCAGTCACCGTCGTTCAGTGTGGTGTTTACCTCCAGTGAGAGTGACCCTACAGCTCCCTCGATCAGCAGCTGCGGGCGCCCTAGGACGAGTTGTAGGGCGATCATGGGCGTCGGCGGCGAGTGTGGGTTTCGGGCTATGGGTGCAAGGGGCCCAGAGTACAGGATGAGAGCATGTGGGTTGTGTGTGAGAAGACGGAGAGACAGAGTGGTGGGGAGACATGGCAGGAGGGAGTCAACCCACGCCCAACCTGACCCTCTGAAGGTCCTGGTAAGCACTTTACACCTCGACCCCCAAGACCTCCCGGGACATACGCACCTAGGGGGAGGGGGCGGGGGTGTTATTGTGTGAGGAAATGTACATAAATAAATGTATATAAAAACACACACTTTTTTATGCAAAGCCATTATCACACATAAGGAAGCGGCTACAGGTGGGTATGTCTAATATAGTTTAGCACCTCGCTCTGAAAAGATTGCCTTCTGTGCGCATCGATTACTTGTACCTCATGATTCCCGCTGTGGCAGACTAATCATCCACATACTTAAAAGAACTGATTCACCATATTAACTCTAAGACCGTCTAAACACGTACCATTAATCACTCGACATTTGTGCTTTATCATTGTTTACACACCTGTTGCCGCCTGACGATGCCACACACCTCCCACCGTTGAGACAAGTGGTGGGTGTGCAGGTGTCTGGCTCGTGGGCACAGCAGGCGAGGGTTCGGGTCAGGCGCGGTGTGACCAGCGAGGTGGCGTTGGTGTCTACTACCTGGTGAGGAGATAATAGTGAAGGTTAGGCTAGTGAAGAGGGTAAAAAAATATATTTATGGTCGTATTTGAATGTTTGTATGTGGCGTATCCGTGTATATTACTGCGTGCTTTCGTGTATGCATAGTAAGTGCGTCTGTATATGTGAGTATATTTTACGTACACACATATATACCTACTGCACATTCTCACACATATACCTGAAGGGGGAGTGTGGTGGAGGCCCGGGAGGCAGCTGAAGAAGGGTCGTGGTCGTGGTAGGGCCGGGGTGAGTGTGGGTACTCCTCCGTCGTGGTGTCCTTGTGCTCGTCAACAGAGGGCCCTGGGCTTCCCACCACCACTGTCAGGTTGGTCGCCATCTCAAGCTGTCGATATCCACGTGAAGAGAGTCCGTTAGCTATCCTTAAGCATTCCTTAATTATGTATTGACTGGACAGGATAAGACATTAATTTGACAACACAAACAGGATAAACAATTAATTGGACAAAACTTTTAGGATAAAAATTAATTTAAAAAAAAAACATTAAATTGGGCAAAACAAAACTAGTAGAGTAAGCCGACCTATTTTCAGTGAACCTTGACCTATGATCAATGATGGTAGCGAGTGAGGGGACCACCGGGTGATGGTGGTCACATCCAGCTGTGAAAATTCTAATATTTTTTTCACGCAAAAAGTTCCACCATAGATTAGATAATAAAGTAAGTTAATTTATATATTTTATGACTTGCCACGGTTCTAAAATGATTCCGTCAGACGTTATTAAAAATCTTGATTATACCGGAGAGAGAGAGAGAGAGAGAGAGAGAGAGAGAGAGAGAGAGAGAGAGAGAGACCCTTGGGTGTTGATGAACTAGATATTAAAAGAGGTGTTAAATATTACCTACCTCATGTGTGTTGAGAGCAAGAAGACCCTGTAGCTTGATGGGGTTAACAAAGGTCCCCTCACTGCTTCCTCCGTCAGTTTTCGTCCTAACGCTCAGCCACACGCAAGCGGAGGAGGACTCGGGGGTTAAAGAGTTCCGGTTGAGATTGACATAGCTGCTGGTAGAAATAGACGGTCTTGTAGTGGACGGACGCATATGAAGTCGAGAAGGGTGAAAGGTGTCGTCGTTGCTGTACGACCCAAGGGGTGGGTCTTCGGAAACGTTGGAGTCGTGGAAGGAGTCGTACTGAGGGTCGTGGTAGACATAGACGCTCACCACCTCCACGGTATGGCTGTCCTCGCCGACCACACTCAACACTCCAGCCACCAGTCGGCCGAGACCACCTCCACCAGCCTGTCACAGCGACCACTTGTAAACATTTGTTGATGAAGTTGATTGGCTTATCCTGAATTCTATTTTATTATTATTATTATTTTTATTTTTATTTTTATTATTATTATTATTATTATTATTATTATTATTATTATTATTATCGTTATTATTGTTGTTAGTTGTTGTAGTATTGACAAAAAAAAAGCAAAGGGAAAAAATAGTGTATATACCGAGTGATAAACGATCATCCCGATTCTAAAAAAAATATTATGAGAAAACTAATAAACCCACAACCACAACACACGTACTCTAGGCGTCCAACCCTTGGTTAGGTGGGTGGGGGTGGTGGGCGTGAGGGTGATGGGCGTGGCGTGGGCGATGGCCTCAGAGGTCAAGAGTTTCACTAAGACGGTCACGTTAGCTGCCACTCCTCGCTGACCCCACACCAGGTCACTCACGAGGAACTGAAGGTCGTATCTGTGGTGAGGAAAGTGGGTGAGTGATTATGGTGACTCAGCTGTGGGGAGGTGAGTCAACTCGGTGATTCTCATTTTATTTGGTGATTTTGACTTGTTAACACTGAGTAATTTGTTGATTTTGAGCTAGTTTGGTGATCCTCATTAATGTGATACTAAATTTTGTAATTACATTCACATAATACTTTTTGCAATACACATCTTCTTTTAGTAACTTTGAAAGGTCGACGCAATAGTTAAATAATATGAAGAGATAGTGGATATTTCCTAACCTAACCTAACTTAACCTAACCGAACTTGATGTGTTATGCGTCATGAGTGAAATACTGTACAGGGCCAAAGAAGATGCAGAGTCCGGGGGGAGACAGTGTAAACAAACCCTCCTCCTCGATCTTATCCGCGGCGAGGAGCAGTATATTTCCCAGGAGGAACTAGACATTTCCCTCACTATCTGCACAGACGGTATTCATATTTCATATTCAATGGATCTATCTGCCTGGAAAGCCAACGATACTCTTTACATACTAGTTCGTCCGTGCATTTTATGGTTTAGTTTTTGTTTTTAAATTTGGATTCCTATCTTGAATTACTTCTTGTTTTGAGGATATTTGCATGGCAATAGTTAACTCTTCTTTAAAGTTGTAGATTAATCCCTCTTCGTGCTTCGGTAAATGTTTCATTCGGATGAGGTAAAACACACACACACACACACACTACTACTACTACTACTACTACTACTACTACTACTACTACTTTGCTGTCACTCGGAATCGAGTATTACGATCATCCAGCTATGATACAATGATATGAGTTATAAAGGATGTCACCTTCGTTGGTGAGCTCTGAGGTGACTAGAGAGGCCGATACGGGACCGGCAGGGTCGTCCACAGAAGTTGTACATGTGGGGGGGCTTCATCTAGTGCGGGAGGGGCCGGAGGCAGAGTCTTTCCGACGTTGGCGCTTGTCTGCCTCGGTATGCAGTCGGGCTAATTCGAAAGTATGGACTCCTTCTTGTGTGGTGCTCCTCCAGGCGATACGGTGTGGAGTAATCATCTCCCAGGTGAGGGGGGTCGATTTGGCACTTTTCAGGTTTGTCTTTTGCCCGTCAACGTTACGTTTACTATTCGTTAGGTGACTGTAAAGTAGCTGTTTGGGCACTCTACTGTCGTCCATGTGAGTAACATGGCCAGTCCAACGTAGTTTTCTTGGATAATGATAGCCACGATGCTCCTACAGCTGGAGTCAGCGAGAATATTTTCATTTGTTGTCTTGTCTTCCTGCCATATAGCAGGATGGGGAGGACCACTGTTCGATATACATGCAACTTTATTGATAATTTCTGCTCTTTACAGCTGAAGACACGGTTACAGAGTCTGCCAAAGGCTTGAGATGCACATCTGATCCGATGTTGAATCTCCTCATCGATGTCTGCAGTGGGGGACAGGTGGGAGCCGAGATTCTGAAAGTGGATGGATGGTGGAGGTGTGTCTGAACAAGGGGCAGGCTGAAAGAGAATCTGAGTCTTATGTACATTCACCTCAAAGCCGAAATAAGCATATGCATCTGCGTAGGTGTTCAGGATCTCCTGTAGGTCGCATTCAGGGTGAGCGACAAAGGTGAGGTCTTCTTCATACTGAAGTTCAGTAATGGATGCTGCCAACACCTTTGTTCCTGCCTGGAGTCGTAATAAGTTGAAAAGACCCCCCTTCACCCGGTACTGCATGTTCACCCCGACTGATAAATTGGCACCGGCACGAGTAAGGAAGGCAGCCAAGAAAATGGAAAAGAGATGTGGTACCAGTACACATCCTTGTTTTACCCCTGTTTGGATGGGGAAGAACTCAGACTGGGTGCCATTGTGCAGGACACTGCCGTTCATGCCATCGTGGAGTTGCCTTACAATGGCGATGAATTTTGGTGGGCAGCCAAAACAGCTGAGGGTCTGCCAGAGGGTTTCTCTGTTGACCGAGTCGAAGGCCTTGGTTAGGTCGATGCAGGCTATATACAGGTCACGACGCTGTTCTCTGCACTTTTCCTCTTATTACGAACCACGCCATCTATTGTGTCATGATCTAACTACCCAGCACTACCGAGCAACGCCATCTAGGGATGCGAACCGAGTATGACTAGTCTTAGTCACCACTTCGGGTTTCCTTTCTCCATATCCTGGTTGTTGCATCACCTCCTCCAACTCTTCCTCATCAGCTCCGGATCGAGGAGAGTTCAGTTCACTCTGGGAAGTGACCACACTTGGATTACCTATCCTGGAAACCTACGGCACAGTGACGACCTACCATCTTCTTCAATACTCAGCCCTACTCGTCAGACACTTCAGCACCGCACTTGAGTATTGTAACCCTATATTACCTCCCACCTCCACTTGCTTCAGATTGTTGTATGTTGTATAAATATGTATATACTGTTAAGCCAATGTTGCGTATGTTTAAGTTAAGTATGGTTAAGGGTAAATTATAGAAAGCTGGATATTTTGTTAAGGAATTTATTGTACTTTATTATACACAACAAAAACTCGCATCCTTTGTCTACCCTTTTATAGTCCGATTGTCTTTGTTTGTTTAGTTTTTTTATTGTTGTTGCCTGTTGGGATCCGGGTAGACTTTTAACTATATTCTAAACCAGTTTCTAAATCCCCAACTCGTAACACTCTATTTGGCAGGCAGCAAAGATTATGTCAGTGGTGCCACGTGAAGGTCTAAAGCCACATTGAGATTCTGGGAGGAAGTTTTCCGCTTCAGGAAGAAGTCTGTTTAAAAAGACTCAGGCGATAATATTGTCAGCTACGGACAGCAGCGAGATCCCGCGATAGTTGCCACAGTCTGGCCAGTTTTCCTTTTTCTTATAAATATTGATGCTGGAGGCGTCTTTAAGAGCTTGGGGGTTTCCTCCTTTTCCATATATTCTCCAGGAGAGAGTGGAGACGGCTGGTAAGCAGAGGTCCTCCTGCTTTATACACCTCGGCTGGGATTCCATCAGGCCTTGAGGCTTGGTTATTTTCATCTGTTTGATGGCAGTAGCTACCTCATCCAGAGATGGTGGATAGCTGAGGTGGGTCAGCTCTGGATGCTGAGGGACCTGCTGGGTAGTCAGGACATCCACATCGGTGTTTCGATTGAGCAGCGAGTGGTAGTGCTCTTTCCAGCGCTGAAGGAGGCCTTCTTCGCCTTTAATTAGGGAGTTGCCATCGGATGAGCTGAGAGGGCTGCACCCTGAGTGATTGGCCCATAAAATGTTTTAGTGGAATTGAAAAATTCGTGCATCTCGTGTTGATCTGCAAGTCTTTGCGTTTCATATGCTTTATTTTTAAAACAGTCGTTCTTTAAATTGCGAAGTTCGCATTGGACCGTTGATTTCTTCTTGCGGAAGGTATCGGCTTTGGTCCGAGACTGAGGGTTGTTGTGCCAGTCAGTTAAAGCAGCACGTTTATCATCGACGAGTACATTGATTGTCGGGTCATTTTCATCAATCCAGTCTTGGTGTATTCTTTCGATCTGGCTGAGGGTCTCTGCAGGATTTTGTCATGACAGTGCCGAGAATATCCCATTCGGCACTGGGATTTGGGTTGTTTGTTGTTGGGTTGTTTATCAGCCCATGATCGAGCTGCTCTCAGAAGGCATGTGCTACCGCTGGATCCTCCAGACACACAGATGTAAACAAAATATTGAGCACACTAAATATATTTAGTGATCGAACGAATCTAATTAAACAACAGCATCAAGTTTCACAGACTCCATGAACAGTTGCATCAATCGATGACCTCCCTCTCTCTCTCTCTCTCTCTCTCTCTCTCTCTCTCTCTCTCTCTTTCACACACACACACATACACACACACACACACACACACACACACACACACAACACTTACCGTCCCTCCCTCACTAGGCTGGAGGCGAAGACAGTGCCGTCACTGGTGTTGAGAGAGAAGAGAGGATTAGGTGGTCCTGCCCATTGGAAACTCTTGTCTCCGAGGTCCCAGTCGTCTGGATCCTGAACGTACACGCGTCCCAGGGGAGCGTCTGACCCGCCACCCTGCAGGAAGAAGACGACGTCCTTGGTGAACAGATCCTGCGTTGATTGGCTTCTGACCCTCTGATGGTCACGGGTGACGAGGGAATTAAAAAGACAGAATAAAGTTGAGATGAATATGTTGACCTCTGAGTTATGACCTTGTGGGTAACCTCTGACATGACCATGTGGGTGATCTTTCCTTAACCTTGACCCGTGACCACTGGTGACCCCTGGTGATCGTTGACCTCTACTGAACGTTGACCTGTGACCCCTAGTGAGCCCTGGTGACCTACCTGGGTCTTCCACATGTAGACAGTTTTGGCCGCAGGTTTCATGGGGTTGTCGTTGAGGTCATCTATAACTACTGTGACCATCTGGTGGGCGGCCAGGCCGCCTGCGTCAGCCACCCACACGCCCACCCGCAACTCCCGGTACTCTTCGCGGTCTACGCCGCCCACCGTCCACACTTCAGCGCCTCCACGCCCACTGTCCAGGTCTGGCGTGGGAGAGGATCACTTGATGATTAAATAAATGTTGAGATAATGTGCACATTGTTGATAGAATGATCACAGTGTATATTTATTATCGTAGTCTGATTATTGACAGAGAGAGAGAGTGAGAGTGAACAACACTTACGGGGAATGAACTCGAGATTGATGTAGCACAGCACATGGGGTGGGTTAGAGGGCGCGAGAGTCAGATTGAATGGCGGGCCGTGTCCTAATGCCCACAAGTCGTCGTCTGTAGCCTTCAGAACACCCAGACGTGTCGCAGGAGCTCCCTCGGGGATATGGAATACCGTAGGAGGCAGGAGTCGTGGGGGAGAATCATTAACATCAGTAATAGTGATGGTAAGGGTGGCGGTGGAGGAGAGAGGTGGGCTGCCACTATCCACGGCGATGATTCTAGCCTCGCTCATCGCCCCTCTGGAAGCCTCGCGATCCAGAGCTTTCAAGAGGGTCACGTCCCCTTCTGAGTCGACGGTAAGGGCATCCCAACCTCCCGTCAGATGGTACTGCACCTTCTGTTGACCGATCTGGAAATAAATGTGATGAGGGAAGGCTGGCGAAGATTCTTAAAGGGGGAAACTGATACATTGACTATTTCTGTGGAGAGAGAGAGAGAGAGAGATTTATACAAACGGAGAACACAAAAGACAGTGAAATGAAAGAGAGACAAAAAGGCAACAGCAGCAGGGGGGGGGTAAGAAGGAAAGTAGAGAGGGAGTGAAAAAGAAGATAAAAGAGAAGGGAGACGGATGGAGACAGGAAAATGGATGGAAGGAGGGAGGGAGAGAGAAAAGAAAGGAAGGAGGGAGGGAGGGAGGGCGGGGGGAGACATCTATAAGCAACAGAACAACACAACTTCTAGAAAAGAAATATCCAATTTTATATCACATTTTCCTTTTTACCTCTGCATCTCTGTTTGTCTTGGCTCAACAAGAGTGACTAGTCTCTCCCCTTCACAGCTGCTGTTTTTTGCTCGCTTAATAATACAATTTGATGGGGTTTTTCTCAGTGGTTCAGTAAATAGGAATAAATACGTTTCCCTTTCTCTTCAGGTCATTTTCTAGGTTTCATTTGTTTTCTATATCTGGTATTGTGTTTTTAAGATGATGATTAACATTATTTATTTACCTCGTGAAGCAGGAAGATGGGCGAGGTTTACTCACCATATCAAGGTCGTGGGCGGGGAGGAAGCCAGGATAGTGCCAGGGGCGGCGTTCTCCCTTAGAATAACGTGGGCGTACTCACCAAGTCGGGGTCCTAGGCGTGGTTTACTAACTATATCAGGATATAAGGCGTTTTTTACAACCATAGTAGATGAGTGGGCGTGGATTACTCACCATGTCAGGGTCGTGGGCGGGGAGAGCGGCCAGGAGAGTGCCAGGGGCGGCGTCCTCCCTCACAGTAACGTGGGCGTGTGGGCGGTGGAACCTGGGCGGGTTGTCGTTGATGTCCCTCAGACGGACGGACACCCAGGCGGCGTCCAGGTGGCGGGGGTCCTTCCAGCCCCCGCGACCCTGGGGGTGGGGGGGGGGAGGGGATAATGAGAGAGAGCGATAATACGAGTGTCAAAATGAGAGAGAGAGAGAGAGAGAGAGAGAGAGAGAGAGAGAGAGAGACTTACCATATCAGTAACTTGCACTAGGAATCGGAACCCTCTACGGTGGGTTTCATCTTCATAGTCTAAGGTCTTAATGGCGTAGAGTAGACCCGTCCCCCCCACACACCTCACCCCGAAGTGTTCCCACCCCCACCCACTCGCCTCCACCACCTGTCAACACACAAAGGTGGGCGTTGTTACCAGCTGGGGAAAGTATAAGAACTTCATAGATTAAATTCAAATATCTCCTGTTCAAAAATGGGTTAATTTGGCTAGTCTTTGTTATGTAGGCTACATTTAATCCTTCAGCTCCAACCAGAACACAAATGAAAGATATATAGTATATAAGGATCATTAAAATATTTAAGGACTCGCCCTGTAGAAGAAGTAATTAGATGTGTCAGGATCAGCTGCAGAGACCTCCAGGATGGTGTCGTCGCTCGGGGGTCCACTACCCCACGTCTCGTCCATCTCCAGCTCCCACTCGCGTCGTGCCAGTCGTGGTGAGTTGTCGTTCACATCCGCCAGCCGCACCACCACCGTCCCCGTCCCTGTGATGACATATCGTATGGGAATAAAAATCAATATAGTCATATTTCTTATAAAACTTATTGTTTCTAGTGATACTGTGGTTGTTTTTAGCTACTTTAACAAGCCTCTAGTAAACCTTATTCACTGACTGACTTAAAGAACTTTTGGTTGAAGAGAGAGGTGGCGTACGGTTATTTTGGGGGAGATGTTGCCAGGCGTACGATAATAGATTAACAGTTTTGTTTACAGTGTTATACCATCATCCCTCTTTTGTGCAGAGAAAAATGTTTATCTCACTAAATTTAGACAATCATTTTCAAAAGACAGCTAAGAGATATTGTTTGTTTTGTAAGGAGTAATTGATTCCACAAAACTGATGGTTTGTTTCGGGAGAGAATGTTTTGTGCACAAATGCATCCTTGATCACGTACCTTTGAGACGTCACTGCTAAAGTTTACGAACAATTAAGACGTCACTGTTGAAGTTTACTTACCTTTGAAACGACACTGCTGTTTAATTACCTTTGAGACCCCCTCCGTCAGAAGCGACCACCTGGATAAAGTACTCGGGAGTAGTTTCTCGATCAAGACAACAGAGAGCCGTTCGCACTAGACCGGTCTCTGGGTGGACGGCAAAGATGGCTTCTCCGGTACGTTCGTCGATTACGTTCTTCTCTATGGAGTAGGAGAGCCGGGCGTTCGTGCCTTCTGAGGTGTCGTCAGCGTCCCAGGCGGAGATCACTGCTACGGAGAGGTCTGTAGGAGGCCATGGAGAGATGTTTAGGAGAACAAGGAGAAATGTGTAGGTGACCAAGAGGAGGTCCATCTCCTTCCCTGTCTGTCTCAAATTATCTTATCTGTCTCTCATCTCTCTCTCTCTCTCTCTCTCTCTCTCTCTCTCTCTCTCTCTCTCTCTCTCTCTCTCTCTCTCATCAACTACTGCTACTCACCTATGGGGCCGTTCTCCTGCACCTCCCCGAACATGGTAACATTGGGGAAGACGGGAGAGTTATCGTTGATGTCCTTCACCATCACCGTCACCATCATTTCTACCATGTGTACTCGTTCATCATCATCATCATCGTCTTCGTCATCGTCATCATCATCATCACCTTCACTACGCCCACTTGCATCACCTCCAAACCCACGCTCAGTGCTTCCTTCAGATCTCCAAAAGAAGGATTGTAGGTCGTCGCATCCCCCAACACTATGACTCCAAGAACCACTGCGGGAGACATTCGCTGCTCTGCTTCTTCTGGAGGAACCTTTTAAAATCTCGTTGTTGGGTAGTTTTGTGGACGCTCTGCTGGAGACACTGATGGAGAAGCTGTTGACGAGGCTGTTGTAGATGGTGATGTTTTGATATGTGTTGTGGGAAGGTTGAGCTGGGTCGATGTTATTGTTGGAAATATTTGGTTTTGTGTCAAGGAGTAAGCTGGTCTGAACGTTATTGTTGTTGTGATTATTTCTGAAGCTGTTGTTAATGTTGTCTGTGTTGCTGGAACTGTTGTTAATGTTGTCTGTGTTGCTGGAACTGTTGTTAATGTTGTCTGTGTTGCTGGAACTGTTGTTAATGTTGTCTGTGTTGCTGGAACTGTTGTTAATGTTGTCTGTGTTGCTGGAACTGTTGTCAAAGTCACTGGTTTTGTTGGAAATAATGTCTCTGTTGGTGATGTTAGAATTGATGTTGGAGATGTTGCTGTGAGCTGTAGTGATGTTCAATGTGACACTACGAAAGTTAGTTTTGTTGGAATTGTTGTCTATAGTGTTGTTGGAAGTGCTAGAATTGATGACATTGTTGGGAGTCTTTATGCTGTGGTCACCATCGGGTCTTTCACTGTTGTTGTTGTAGGTCAATGTATTTCTTTTACTTCTTGTTGTTCCTCTCGACGTTGAAGGGGCAGTGGACGCATGCGCTCTGTCACTCTCCGCGAGGCTCCTCTTTCTAGTGGTCAGACCCGGACGCGGTAACTGGTGTTCGTGCTTCACATCTACAAGCAAAGAGTTCACCTGAGAGTTATAGGAGGCCATCAACCGCTGCTCACTTGGATTGATGCTTCCGGAGCTTTTCACAACCAAATTGGCTTTACTGGAATCATCGTCCAAGTGACCCAGAAAACCTTTGAATACATAGGAAGAATTTGTAGATAGTTCATTTATATCTTCCACCTTATTAGTTGAACTTGTAGCGAGTCCATTTACAATAGATTTTTCAATGAGCTTATTTATACTTTTCAGTTTATCAGAGGAACTTGTGGTAAAAGTACTTAAGTCGACCTTGTTGGAGCTTGACCCCGTGATGGTGTCTGGCAGATGGTGGGAGACAACAGCTGCGGGCTTAGCTCTTTGTTTTACTTTTGATCTGAAAGTTCGGGAGACTTTGGCTGGAGAGGTGGGAGTCTGAGCCTTCCTTTCGCTCTCTTTACTTTCCTTCTCGGTTATCTGAGAGAAAACGGGGCGAGATCGTTGTGTGTGGTACTTTCTCTCATCATCTCTTTGTTTCTTATTCTCTAGAGACGTTTGAGAGATAAACGGAATATAACGAGCTGTCTGAGACTCATTCTCCACCTTTCTTTCTCTTCTTCCTTTCTCTAATGACCGAGTCTTCCTCTCAGTCTTGACCCGTCTCTCACTTTCTTCCCTGGAGTCGTGGTAGAGAGTAGTGAGAGGGAAGGTAGAGAGAGGTTCCTCCTTCAGTGGCTGTCCATCACGTACCTGAACTCTGACCCGCCACGCCCTCTTACCCTCAGGTGGGTCACGGTCAAGGGCCTGACGGAACCAGAAACAAAAATGGGTCAATCTATATGAACGTTGTATATCTCTCTTATAAACCACCTCTGCTGTGTGTAACAGTTAATCATATTAATTAAGAGAAGGTAACATTAATTAACACTAATTATTATAAATTAATGATAAGGAACATAGAGTAAAGTAGCAAGAAGTTACATTAATTAATGGTAAGGACAAGTAAGTAGCTGTTATTAATAACGAAGAATAATAAGTAATAGTAAATAGCATATGTTAATAGTAAATAACACTAATTAATAGTAAGTAACACTAGGTAACAATAAGTAAAACAATACTATGTACAGGCAGTAGGAAGCAGTAGTGAAAAGTGGAAGTGGCTTCCATAGGCATGACTGACCGTGGACACAGCACACTGTATACTAAGCCTTCGGTACACAAGGAGGCAGCATGGCCGGTACTGCACTCGACCGCATTCACTTCCCCAAGTTATAAACTTCGGTACCCATTTACGGCTGGGTGAACTGGGAGAGCCGGGAATCGCACCAATGACCCCTGGAGCAGGAGGCGAGCGCTGTATCCACTCGACCTCAGTAAATACCAACAGGTAGCAATAAGTAACAGTGTCATCACAACAGACTCCCTGAGTTGTAGAGGCTGGCCTGTGTGAAGGTGTTGTTAGGTGGGGGAGGGGCTACCCGTCCAGAATAAATAACATTAAGCAACCTTACGTACAGTAGCTGTATGTATCCCTAAAGTAACATTGAGTCGCAGAGGGAGGCAGTATGTCAACACTAACAGTACCCTGAGTTGTAGGAGCTGGCCTGTACGTGTGTTTATCCCGAAAAAGGCGTTGCTGGGGGAGTACCCGTCCACACCGTCCCCCTCCACACTGTACACGAGCCGCTGCTGATCCCGTCTGTCTCTGTCTTCCGCCTCCACCTGCAGGGCGGGGGTATGTTTATCACCTATATACAAGAAGTAAGGCGTCATGCATGGATACTCACTTATTTTAATTGAGAACAGATATAAATCTATACACACGCAAGAAGTACATACAGAGACACACGTGTATATATTACTTTGGTATAAACTTATTTGGTATCATATTTATCGAGCATTGATTATTATAATTTGAAATCCTAACAAATGAAGTCGAATTTGTCCATATTTTTTTGGAGAATATTGGTTATATTTCCCCTAAATATAGTATTTCTTCTGCGAATGTTGTCTATGTAATTTATTTCTCATTACTTAATTTAAAGTAGAAATCTTATTAAGTATCTCTCTCTCACCTCAGCCAGCACCAATGGGAGGTCACGGTCATCCTCCTCAATCACGGTGACAGTGAGGTCAGGACCCAGGAAGTAGGGCGGGTTGTCATTGACGTCACCGACCTGCATTTGTACGATGGCGTGAACTGTCTCTCCTCCAGCCTCCGCCGCCACCACCAGTTCGTGCTAGACGTAAACAAGAGAGCGAAGAAGAGAATAAAGTTTATAAAAGGACGAGAGTAGCCATGAACAATTGGGTTAAAAAGTCCAAACAAATTTGAATCCCTCGTTGCCTATAAACAAGTGTAAATATATGTAAATAATAGTGGAAAGAACACATGATATATGGTAATACAATCATAAAAGGTTATTCAGAAATATTAGCACAAGTATTGAATTAGGAATGGTTACAGGTGAGGTGATTCCTGGAGGTGGTGGCAGTGTCTTCAGTAACCAGAGAAACGTATCTATGACCTTCGATAAGTCGGAGCTTCTCAGGCAGCTCTAGTAACGTCCACAACAATCATCATTCCTCTTCTCATATACTTTGTTAACCTGGCCACACTAGGCTGACACATGGCCACTGATAACCTAACTTGGCCACTCTTGGCTAGGGGGCATCTCTCCGGGATTCGGGTGCGGTGGGGGGGGGGGTAACTATCCTCTATCGTGACTTTAACCACTTTGTTAGTTGCGTCTTCTGCTCACAGGTGTTATTTAGTCAGGAATTTACTACACATTCATTAAGGTTCGTGAATGTGTGGCAGCTCCTCCGTGATGGGAGATGAAAGGCTGCAAGACGCATTGGTTCCGTCTCTAAGGACTTGTGGATTTCAATACAGTGCAGGACGGTGGTGGTGGTGGTGGTGGTGGTGATGGTAGTAGTGGAGATAGTGGTGGTGGTAGTGGAATTAATGGTGGTAGTGATGATAGTAGGGAAGGTTATCACTACCGTTCCTCTGCTCTGAGATACTCGTTAAGGCTTCAACATTAAGCTACACGCTACGACTATCACCTGGCCCTGGGTGTTCACTTAACAATAATCTGCGTCATTCTGCTTCTGTGTGCAAAGACATTTATCATGAAAGATATTTAAAATGTAGTGCTGCTGCATTTTGTCTTATGCCTGTTTATGTTTACACACACGCACACACACACACACACACACACACACACACACACACACACACACACACCACTCCGTAATTAAACTTGGAGGAGGAGCAACAAGCAGCAACACTAACACGGTGGGACTCGACAAAGGCTTGACTGACAACATAATTTGCTAGGCCGATGTTGTGGGAATGTGGGAGGGGTGTGGGAGGGGAATGGTGGGGGTGGTGGGAAGGGAAGGAGGAATGGAGGTGGTGGGGGTGGTGGGAAGGGAAGGAGGAATGGAGGTGGTGGGAAGAGTGGTGGGGGGGTGTGGTAGGGGATGGAGGAGTGGAGGTGGTGGTGAGAGGAATGATTGGGGTGTGAGAGGGGATGAAGGAGTGGAGGAGGGGTGAGGGAAGGACAGACCCATCACGGATGCTGCTCTTAACTGATCACTCGGGCAATGGAGGAAGGAGAGGTGGAGGAGGACAAGAGAGAGAGAGAGAGAGAGAATAATCCACCTTATCATAGATCTCATAGTCGAGGGCGGCAGCTAAGGTGATAACTCCTGTGTGTTGGTCTATAGTGAAGAGACCATCCCTGTTACCTCCAGTGATGCTGTACCGTACTGCCCGGCCTGGAAGAGGATGGAAAAGGGTATCTGTTACACGAGATGGCCTGTGCTGGGGGGAGGGGTGGTGGAAGTGAAGCAGGGAGGGTGGAAGGAAAGGGTGAAGTGGAATGAGAAGAAAAAGGAGGGAGAGTCGAAGGGATGGAAAAGTTGTTCTGTTACACGAGATGGGTAACGTTGGTGGGAGGGACGGAAGGGATGCAATGATATAGAAGTTAGAGAAAAATGACCGAAAAGTGAGAGAAGAGCGAGAGAGAAGTGAGAAGGAAAGAAGAGGGAACTCCACCAAACTAACAAACTCGTCACTTGTGCTGAAAGGCTTACGGTACGCTTCCCTCTACCCGAGAATGTTGTACCATTCACCAACGATTTTATTTTATTTTTATTTTATTAATTTTTTTGTCGGTCATCAGAAGGATCGAATCCAAAAGCAAAAATCCATCTAAAATTGTGAGGAATTTCCGTGAGGTATTTTCTGGTATCAGGTTTTCGTTGCGAATTTCCCGCGCAAAAACAAAAAAAAGCGATCTTATTAGGGAAATAATTGGTCTAATGGATTCTGATGGTACGTATCTTACATAAAATCCTCTAATCCTGAAATCTGAAATCCTTTAAAGTCAGATTATTATTAAAAACAATATCCTGAACCCATAAATTATAACACTCGCCCTTAATAAACAAAAGTAGTAATATTATCCCACTTTATGGTTCCAATTATTCTGAATTTATAGGACCTCAATAGTGGCCGTATATATCTATAGTCTTATAAACAATCAACGCTACAGGGTGATTGATAGATGGATCAAAGAAATTTATATCAACCAAGTTTTTCTTTCTAGAGATGATATAGGAGAGTGAGGGAAATAGGAGGATGTTTACGTTCCCCCTACCTGTATGACAAAAGAGCAGCGTATACATGGTGTTTATGGAGTCAATTTTCCTCGAGAGAGAATATAGGAAAGTAGTGTTCATTAGGACAAAAAAATTTCCCACAGGAAAGTATATGGATAGTTGGAATTGCTGGGGAAATTTCTCTCATATAAGATACAATACTGCATTCATGGGGAAAATATTTCCATACAGGACAATACAGGAATGCACAGTGCTTAGGAGGACAATTTTACTCATAGGTTAAAGGCAACAATGGGGCTGAGGCCAGACCTTTCCTCACAAGACAAAAGAAAATTGTGCCACGTTTATGAGGACAAATGAGGAAAGAGCAGTGTTTATGAGGACAACAGAAGTACGTACCGTGTCTGTGGGTGGCAGCCACAGTGAGGACAGTAGCCTCTACGGGGGCGTCCTCAGGCATCAGAGTACAGTAGCGAGGAGCCGAGAATTCAAGAGGCCCGCCACTTGCTGTTGACAGTAGCCGCGTAGCTGAAACAAAACACAAATGCAATGCGTCAATGTAGAAAAACTGATTGGACGATGAGAGATAAGGGTGAGACTTAACGTGGGATGAGAGATAAGGGTGAGACTTAACGTGGGATGAGAGATAAGGGTGAGACTTTACGTGGGATAAGAGATAAGGGTGAGTCTTAACGTGGGATGAGAGATAAGGGTGAGACTTAACGTGGGATGAGAAATAAGGGTGAGACTTTACGTGGGATGAGAGATAAGGGTGAGACTTAACGTGGGATGAGAGATAAGGGTGAGACTTAACGTGGGATGAGAGATAAGGGTGAGACTTAACGTGGGATGAGAGATAAGGGTGAGACTTTACGTGGGATAAGAGATAAGGGTGAGACTTTACGTGGGATGAGAGATAAGGATGAGACTTCACGTGGGATGAGAGATAAGGATGAGACTTAACGCTGGATGAGAGATAAGGGTAAGACTTTACTCTGGATGAGAGATAAGGGTGAGACTTTACGTGGGATGAGAGATAAGGATGAGACTTAACGTGGGATGAGAGATAAGGATGAGACTTAACGTGAGGATGAGAGATAAGGGTGAGTCTTAACGTGGGATGAGAGATAAGGGTGAGACTTAACGTAGGATGAGAGATAAGGGTGAGACTTAACGTGGGATGAGAGATAAGGGTGAGTCTTAACGTGGGATGAGATAAGGGTGAGACTTGACGTGGGATGAGATATAAGGGTGAGACTTAACGGGATGAGAGATAAGGGTGAGACTTAACGGGATGAGAGATAAGGTGAGACTTAACGTGGGATGAGAGATAAGGGTGAGACTTTACTCTGGATGAGAGATAAGGGTGAGACTTTACGTGGGATGAGAGATAAGGGTGAGACTTAACGTGGAGAGATAAGGGTAAGACTTTACTCTGGATGAGAGATAAGGGTGAGACTTAACGTGGGATGAGAGATAAGGGTGATACTTTACTCTGGATGAGAGATAAGGGTGAGACTTAACGTGGGATGAGAGATAAGGGTGAGACTTAACGTGGGATGAGAGATAAAGGTGAGACTTTACTCTGGATGAGAGATAAGGGTGAGACTTAACGTGGGATGAGAGATAAGGGTGAGAGTTTACGCTGGATGAGAGATAAGGGTGAGACTTAACCCTGGATGAGAGATAAGGGAGAGACTTAACGTGGGATGAGAGATAAGGGCGATGCTCAGCTTGTTCTGTAATAAAGCTTCATATGTTTTCTACTGATGCTTAATATGTTCTCTGAAGCTTAAAATGTTTTTTATTAAGAAACTATGTTCTCTAAAGCAAAAATGGTGTCTAATAAAGCTTAATTTGTTTTCTAATTAAGCTTTGGAGCTTTCCACTGTGTAGACTGTAACTTAACATGTTTTCTAAAGTTAATATTTTTGTCTAATAAATCTTTGTTTTCTACTGAAGCCTAATATATTGTTTACAGCTTAGCACGGTCTCTAATGTCTTGATATATTATATACTCAAGCTTATTATGTTCTCTGAAGCTTAACATGGTCTCTAATGGTTTGATATATTATATACTCAAGCTTATTATGTTCTCTAAAGCTTAACCCGGTCCCTAATACGTCTTAATAATTACGGTCTCTACTAAAGCTTAACTGGTACCACCACACAGCTCTATACGTCCCGGCTCACTGCTCCTCCTCTCAATGTTGGCAAGATGAAGGCGCGCGAACTAAGCATATGTGTGAGTTACTGTGCTCAGAGGGGTGGGAATAGTGAAGGAGGGGGGGTAGGAAAGTGGGAGGTGAGGGAGGAAGGGAGAGTGTGAATAACGAGGGAGGGAGGGAGGGTGAGGAGAGGATATTGATGGGGGAAGAGTAGGAGTGAGTGGTGGTAGGAGAGGAGGAGGAAGAGAGGGGTTTTGGAGAGAGAGAGAGAGAGAGAGAGAGAGGTAAGCAGTTCCGCCACCATCACCTGAAAGACACCGCCACTCTGGTCATATTGGCGTAGATTACCGATGGCTTTGTGTGTGTGTGTGTGTGTGTGTGTGTGTGTAAGTCAAGAATGCGACAGTTCTCACAATACACGCCCTATCATCACGTACTGTATATTGACCAAAAATACAATTCAAATCGCTCCTTTCTTCCTCTCAGTCTAGACGACATACCAAGACTATCATCAGAAATCGACCCATAACTTTATCCTGTATTTTCAAGTCTTCGGAAAACCAGACAGATTTTAACTTATAACTTATAACTTGTAAATAATTTAATAATAGTAGTAAAAAAGGCTGTAGTTATCGGCTCATAACCATTCTATATACCATAAAGTCTTTGGATATAAATGGTAAACTGATGATTGACATTTCAATATTGGAACAAGTAAAGCATAGATTATTCACGACTGATTTTTATTACAGTAAACATTGACTAATAAATATTTGTTACCTCATAAAACACATTTGGTAAACCTGGCCTCATTCTCATTCTCCTATACATCGATCTCACACGGTACCTCGCCCTCACACTCACTCATAATCACGTGTTGCAGTATAAACTCTCCTCAAAACGAGGAATAAGGAAACTGTACAAGTTATATTGACTGACTATAACCATCTGAAAACAACTGGAATCTGGAATGCGCTGGAAAAAAGTATTAATGCGTGTATACTGTATATGATGGACGAGTGTTATGTATATATCATATGTATACAAATTTATTGAAATGTACAAACTCGCATTGACTATAAGAGGTATTTCCAAGCAGTAAATATACTTAACCATGAGGGTGAATCAAAAGGAGGTTACGATCGACCACAACCCGACCTTCCCTTTCCACCAATCACGAGCCACGACAGGACAACAATATTGGTTGCCATAGTAACACATGACGCCAATACAGCATTAAGACGTTCGAGAGGTTCTAGTGCTGAGGCAGATACAATGTATAAGGTGTTGATATGCACTATACAGTATCTCAACTAGTTCAGTGTTCGACCCTACCCAAAGGACATAAACAAGACCGAACTACCTAATCAAGTTTCAGTGGGGTATAAAAAAGTTTAAAGTCCTAGAGAACTATAAAAAAAAGTTTTCGCTGGCCATAAGGGAGACTAGTTATAACGTAGGAGAAACATGAGAAAAACTAAATATATTCTTCATTCAAGCAGCCAAGCCTAAGCAAACAACATACTAAACCGAACATCTGATGGTGATACATTACAATAATCAACAGGTGACTCCTTGCGAATTGTTCTTCACGTAATCAACTTACGAGATGAATAACCTCTCCTCCTTACCCCTCCCCCTTCCATCCTCTCTTCCTTCTCACCCTCTACTCCCTCCCGTCCTCTCCTCCTACCCTCCCTCTACTCCCTCCACCATCTATCTCCCCATCCTCCATCCTGATAAACAACCCAATCAAATGACTTCATTAGGTGGAGTTCCCTGACTACTGTGTTCCGTCATAGGTTAAAGATGAGTGATGGATTAACTGTGCGTATGATCCTAGTAAGGGATTCGTACATTGATAGGATTTTTAGAGAAATTACTCGTATTTAGGACTTTTTGTGGGGAATTATCCATGTCAATATCAATAACAACAAAATCTAATATTGCAACAACCACGTAAATAGATAATAAAACTACCACTCTCTATCTACAAAACAATAACGTCACTAGTAGAGTCAATGAAGTCAGTAGCACAGACAGAGAGCGTAGAGGAGAATCAATCACAGATACACTATTCAGACAAGTGCCTCACCCTCTGCCAGCCATATTGACCACAGAGGCGCCGAGGAAAGAATAACACTCACGAATTTATATATATGAGAATCTAGATCTAGGCTTATTGACCCGAACCATCTGGAGAAACACTTATTTTATTTTTACTGAAGACAAAAGGAATAACGTGTGAATTTATACCCCCAGAATTTGCACTCGAGCAAAAACCATAATAGTTTCTTTGTTTCGTTCGTGACTGTAATCCTGAATTTGTATTATAAAGTATTTTTTTGTTCAGTTATTCATCCATACTTTTTCAATGAAATAATTTTGTCTCCTAATGCTAAGTTAAGGAATCAAATTAAAATTTTAATAGAATTTTCCAGGCATTTTCGGATGTTCATTTTGTGTTAAAGCTTAAGATCAAATTATTAGCCGAATTCTTTTACCTTAATTACTGAAATAAACGGTTCACATAAGAGACTTTCATTATCTATGTCATCTAGCGTATTAATCATCACTTTTTATTACCTTGGCTTATTGAGCGCTTAAAATCTCGTCACTCTTATTTTTTTTCATATTATTTCGAAGGTTTGGTTGCAGTTTATCTTATATTTCTGTCGTGTATAGTGTTTTTATTCAAGGAACAATGCATTTCCTTATTACTAATCCAGGGAAGCGAATGACGAACGAAACTGAGAATCCGAGAGTCGAGAACGAGCCATTTTATGTCTTTTTCTTTTACTCTTTGGCTGTCAACAACGATGACAACGAACATGAAGGAGAAAATACCGACATAATACGTTAAGTTTTTATTGGAAGAATGAAACAGTTTTGAATTATGAAAGAAAAAAAGAGATAAAGCCTCATGTTGACAACGGTTGGCGTTAAATGTATCTATAGAATGTAACCTGTACCCTGTGTCCCGGTAGTACACACACACACACACACACACACACACACACACACGGTATATGCATTTTTGGGGCTGAGTCAGGAAGCTATGCATCTCTTGCTGGTGATAAAAGATGCATTGGGTCCCTCGCCAGTGAGCCGTGTCCCTCGCCAGAGAGTCACGTCCATTGACCAATGAGTCGCGTCCCTTGCCAGAGAGTCGCGTCCCTTGACCAATGAGTCGCGTCCCTTGCCAGAGAGTCGCGTCCCTTGACCAATGAGTCGCGTCCCTTGCCAGAGAGACGTGTCCTCCCTAGTAAATCGTGTTCCTTGACCAATGAGTCGCGTCCCTCCAGAGAGTCGTCCCTGCCAGAGAGTCGTGTCCCTTGCCAATGAGTCGTGTCCCTTGCC